TACTAGTCCCGTTTATCTCGTCGCGACTCGTCGTTAAACTCGAAAAGAAGGGAAGCGAAATTTCGGGTAATCGATCGGAGAACGATAGGAATCGAAAGAAAGAATAGACGCGCTAAAAGCGCATTCAGCGATGAAGGGCGGGTTCCTATGGAACGCGATTAAACGGCATAATGAGATTCTTGCGACGACTACGCGAAATCGGTGTCTTCTCATCGTGCACCAGCGACTACGCGTGAAACTCGGAAACGATTCGAATTAAATTAACATTCCCACCGAACGTGAAAGAAGATCAGGAACACTGCTCGTACACCTAATTAAACTCCAAAGTACCGCTCGCGAGTTATTCGGTGCTAGCCTAGTCGTTCCATGAGACCCTCCTACTCGCCCTTCTTGTTACTAACGAAGGAAATAAGCGATTGCTAGTATCGACTTCCAAGCCGTGATCTTCTAGAATAGGTGGATGCATATCTAAAAACCGTCGACATCGTTTAATTTTATCGGATCCTCTCCCTCGACGTACTGCCCTCGAACGCGTATCGACGAGAAAATTGGTAACAGCGAGGGTAATAGCGATAGTGATACCCGTGTAACGTGTCGGGATAATTGGTAGAAGCGTCGCGCAATTTTCAAACTCTTCCTAAAGAGCTGACCGATTTAGCTAACGAGCTACCGCGAATTAGACGAGACAGGGGAAAACCGGGGACTTAATTTAGACACGGAACGGAATTACGTACTTCGTGCGAAGCGTTTCAACGTTTGGAAATAAACGGCGCACCGTATAACGATACCGAACGATACGTGGCTACTGTATTTATTACAACGACATTTCGCAATTTCCAACGCGCCAGTTTCTCCTGTGAAATAAAGAAGATTTCCGAGAGAGACCGAGCAGATCGAGAAGAAATTGACGTCCGAGTAAACGGGGGATCGGTATACGCGTGAAGTTTTAAGCCCGGGGTTGAAAACTGTAATAATATCGATTCCGGTTCTTGAAACAGTTTCAAAGAACAGTTACTTTCTACGACTGTTGCAAAGAACCGAAATCAGGGAAGATATCGATTTCGGTTACGGTTCCGATAGCTTTTGAAATATCGTAGCTATATCGGTTACTACTGCGGTTCTGGGTACTACGTACGGTATACGTACCGATATTTTTTACTTTAAGATTTGCGCCTTTATATAGCTAACAACGCGTATCGTGATTCGTATGATTATCAAGATATCGGATATCGACGGAGAACTAGCTGGAAAAATAGATACGAGTCACCGTCTACCAAACGATGCACGTGTCACGGTGCACAGGTGAGGTACGCGTGAACGTAGGTTCCAAGTGAAGATTTTGATTGACGATAAGACTAACTTTATTTAGTGGATCTGGTTATTTATAACGAGGTTCTGGTCAGTGAAAGGGGTATTGTTACAGGCTACAACTTCATTGGTCCCTAGGGTAGTTGTCTCGTAACAGTGTCACAATAGCAAAGTTCGAAGCCCTCGAGTGGTTATCTATCTGATAGTGCGTCACTTTGCTTATAATTTGAACCGCGTCACAGTAGTAAAATCTGAAGCCCTCGGTTGATTATCTCCCAGTGTGTCGTAATCTGGACTGCGTCACAGGAGCAACGTCTGAGACCCTTTGTATATTTATCCGATGATGAATGACGTTATTTTTGTAAATTCGGCTACGTCACACTCGTGACGACGAATTCATCGCGACGATTTCGGATGGTAATGCTTCGCCCTGTAAAGACGAGGGTCTGTGGACCCTAGTCCTACAGTCGGGTACCTGTGCGCTTCCCATCGCCTCGACGTAATCGATTCCTGCCCCGTGAAGCAGAAAACACCGTGTATCCAACTATTAGATCTCGTTAGGAACCTTCGGTATATCCCCGCAAGTATCGGTGGTTTGACCAACTTCACGCAGACTTGAACTTTCGCGTTGCGACGTCGCGAGATCGGCAGAGACTCGATCGTGTATATCTTCGCGAATCGGGTAAGCTAGTCGATTTTCTCGGAAGATGGCGAATTCGTTCGTTTCGTAGGAGACTTCCAATTTCTGCTTCTTCGCGTTTTCCCTATTTCCAGACGAAACACATCGACGTATTAAATGTTACCGAATCTTCAACGTCATCTTCGCTCGCTTGCTTTTGCTCCGAGTTAGCTACCTGTACCCGACGAGGAACTTGGAAATTGGCATCGTTCCCCAAAGATTTCTATTGGGATTATGGGTTTATAATTGTAAAATAATCTCTCTTTTAATTTCTTTTAATACTCGAGGAAGGTATATCTATTTTTGAGTGCTTCTCTAGAGCGACTGACCGACTCGTGAGCGAGTGTCAAGAGGGTACGCGATACAGTTTGCCTAAATCCCTAATTCTTATATAATGTTTATATAAACATCCGTTCTTGGCATTTAGGTCTTATAAACTATTTATTCACGCCTTATATCCTAGATCGATTTTTGTATATAATTAAACTTATCTATTCAACAATTTCCCTTTCGAAAGCGACAGATTACGTTGACTCGGATCAAGCTAATTACGAGTTTGGCATTCATTTTTCTCCGGTGGAAAGTCCAATACGATACAACCACGAGATACGACACGGCTGAAAATTGTTACGATATCGATTTCAGTTTGTCGAAACCGTTTCGAAAAGCCTGGATATTTTCTTTCTAGGTATCGATTGCGGTAACTTTCGAAATATCGGAATACTATTTCGCTGCTGTGTAAAACGCGGAATTTCCGAAAGCTGCGTCCTTTCGATCAAATGTACGAATTTCGATCGATCCGATCCCCGATTAAGCAGAGAGTAGATAAAATTCGAAACGAATTCGAAAACGTCGGAGAAAAAAAGGTGGTAGCAATGTAAACGAGATATGAAAAATGGCAAAGGCGACGCGGGAATCGAATTTCGGAGCGGAACTGCCGTCGATTTTTGGCCAATTTTACCGATCCGTCATCCGGAAAGGGAAAACCGGGGAAGTTTTCCGTGGCTAGTCGCGCGTGTATTTTTCCCGAAACTTCCTCCGGCGGATTACTTTCCGCCGTGACGATGAACGAAAGTTCAGGTAAAAGTAGCAACACCGACGTATATTACACGGTAACTCTGTGACAACGCAACGATCGCGTTGTTGGTCCGCCGAGTTCGCGCGGACAAGATAAATGTAAGTATCATTACACCGCGTCTACCTGCACTCGTTTCAGCGTGAAAGGCCGAATTTCGATCTCGCCGCGCGAAAGATAATAATCGTAACTACAGGAGGAAACAGGCTCGACGAGAAATACCATTCGACTATCCTCCAAAATTTATTTCGTCGATGAACACACAGCGAGCATCTAATAATACGGTGCTCGGTGAAATTGCGACCCAGTTAGGCTTTGACCCACTTGGTTGCACCGTAATCATCGTCGAGTGCTCTCCACGGATTGATATTAGAGGTAAACATGCCACTGGAAGACTACCCGTGCTATCTAGGCTCTCGTTTGCATGGGACAGCAGCTCGTTCGCTTCGCTTCCTAAGCCTCCGACGTATTTCGCGTTTCGAACGTGTTTCCCAACGATTATCCTCGATACGAATCGCGACACGACTCCGATGTACGTCGAGTTTCCCCCGCGTACGATATCGGTGCATCGGCATCGTCTCGTTCGTCGGTATACGGTAAAAACAATGGTCAAAGCGCGATATAACGACACACCGTGACCGATGGATGGCGACACGGTAAGAACGATTCGCTCGATCGGTCGAGCGCGAGGGTGTTTAAAATGGCCGATTTTTTCCGGCAATCGCGAGGTCTTTGTACGCGAGACACGGTGGTCAACGGATTAGACCTCGTCGCGTCTACGCGTGTCGTCTCGTGTCTATAAATAGGAATAAAACGCGAAAGAAAAGGCGAGACGTCGGTACCGGTGAAACGACCACCAGAGGTCGTCGTGAGGTCAGCCCGTATTACGCGGAAATAAGTAGTCCAGTCCACGCGGAAGCCTTTCGACGCTGATTGCCATCGAACGCGTCTGACTTTGTCTCGCTGCAAATATCACCGTGTAAATATGACCGCGTGGTGGAAGGTGGTAAACGACGATAATAAATCGAGGAAGAAGAAGCGGGATACGCTTGGCGCCGGTACGATGCTGAAATTTGAAGTTGCAGCAGCGAGCAGTAGCCGAATGTTTTCGAAGCATCTGTTGCGCACGTGAGTTATGACCTAGCCGTAAGGCATCGTCCACACCGTCTTCCCTTCTACGCGAATATGCTCCGTCGTCTGTTTCCGTCGTCTGCCACCTTTCCGGATACACCTACATGCACATGGGCATGTATCGCCTGTACGTGTTTGTCCTGCATCAAATTTCCCTCCCTCTAACACCTCTCCGCTCGAGGTTATCGCGAATCAGAGCGAACCAAAGTGAAGATTTACACATCGCGAACGGATATCTCCGACGCGAGTTTAACGGTCGTTTTCGATGACCGATTGATCGTGTACGTGCGATAAATGTTCCCTTTCTCGTTGTTTACAGCGAACGCTACACCGCGGAAAAATTAGGGCAAAGATGCTTTTTAACTTGTTCCTTTCGTTCCACTACCTTTAATCGTCTTTCTATATCGCGTAGTTAACGATCGAGGCAAACAAAAACGGTGTAAAGAATAAACACCATCGGTGAAGATTAACGAGGCAACGAGAAACAGGGAATGCGCATCGTCTTTATCGAATCGTTAATTTTACCTCTGCGTTCTTCCATTTTCACAAATTTACACCTATTTTTCTTTTGTCTTTTTTTTCTTCTGTTTGTTCTCTTCGAAATTAATCTCGTCGGAATCGTATGGGGAGGAAGAAAAGGACGGGAAAGAAAATTACGAGAAAATAGTGCAAATTGGGAAAAACCGTGAAAAACTTTTGCTACGGACACTGGATTAGCGAGACGAATATACCCTACGATTTAACCATTGTGCCAATGCTTTTTTCGTTGAATAAACAAATACGATAAGCAATAATAGAATGACTCACCTTTTCGAGGCACTCCTGACCAATGGCTTTGGGGTCGACTTGTACCTCGAGGATGACGGAATTAGCTTGACTAACGAGACACCACATCTTGTCAAGCTGTATCCAATGAGGTTCGTACACGCACCGTTTTGCTCGGTAAAACTCGCAACACGATTTCGACTAGGCGTAACAAACCAACAAACCAAAACGCACGTTCACAGAACTTTCGGCACGCGCGTTTACAACGATCTCTTCCTCGGATTCGCAGCTGGTCGGCGACCGGCTTTACTCGACACGTTCTTAATCATAACAGATTTAAAACGCGTACCCGTGCACAGCTGTCACAGCATCCTCACACGCGACTTCGTACGTTAGCAACGTGCTCGCGCTCGTATTACTCCAACGCGCCTCGTCGGCTTCCATTTCTCGGTGCAGAATGGCACACGTACTGACTGCTTCGCGCTGCCAGCATTAGTTCGCGAAATCGAATCACCTCTCCATGTCTATAGAGTGGCGCTAGTGTGGTGAACGCACATTACACACGCACTACGCGCACCCAACCAACTGCTGCCTGAAACCGCGATCTCCCTCGCGACCAAAGGAAGGTTAGGTTTACACAGCTGATTCCCCCTCTCTGTCTAAAATATTTTCTTTTCTACCTCGATATCTGACCAATTGCGAGAAACGTAAACAGAAATGACCAATTACGTTACAGCTGTACGCGTTTCACTGTAACCGCGTCTGCGCTCGACAAATTACGGGATTGATAAGCTCGAAAACTAGAATCGCGACATTTTTCCACTCGCGATAATTTTACCATACACTTTCGATATTTCTTTTTCTTTCCATTCCATCGTATTTTGCGACAAAATTCTTTTTCTATACGTCATAGTTATAGTATCGATACTATCCACGTCCTAGAGATTTCGATTATTACCCGTTTGATAAAATCAGGTATTACTACTACAAATATTGCCAAGCTAAAAATCTTTTACGTAACAATTATGTACGTCACGTAACTACTTAACGGTAACAAATTTTTATTTCGATACGAAATGTGACCGTTCGATGGACGACAAGGGATCTCGAGTATCAAGAAATTAATTGCGTTTCGTCCGTTTTTATTCTCGAACATTAATACTGTACAGATTAGTCAGCATACGGAAACAGGGTTTACACGTGAGGTATAACTTCTTTTTCTCTATAACTTAACAAAGCTTAAATGTTTCAAACAAAACGAAGAATAATATATGTATATATATGTATGTATAACGTCGCGAGAACCACCATCAGGTTGGGAGCTTATGCGTGATTCTTTGGAAGTTGTACGCAAAATCTTTTAAGACACGTTTTATGTCCTCGATGCAGCAGAATTATGGAATGACATCTAACGATATACACTTAACGATGTACAATCTTTTGCCACCACCTTAAGCTTTAACATTTACACGTCATCCTAATATATCTAGGCCTTGATATATCACAATGACGATAACTTGTTTAATACGTCTATACTGCTATCGTGACGCTACACTATGATAATCCTTAAACTTTCCAATATGGTGGTAAAAGCTCAGCATAGGTACAATTACATTTATTGTCTTGTAGCAACTGCAGACAAAATTCTAATAATTTCGATACCACCATCTACCATGAAAAGGTATACACATTTTTCGAGTACAACATAATAACGATATATACGTTTCAGGATATGATAAAATAAAGTACTTAATGTACATTTATAGCGTAAGATGCAATATTTATAATTAATCGGTACGCTTTTCCTCGCTTACATTTCGGCGCGGTAATTCTTGTGCAATTCGGGTTTAATGTTGTACACCAAGTCCAAGATTGTGAGCACGACCTATATTATAAAAAGTATATGTAACAGAAATGTTAAATAGCAAAGATATCGTTACTTTCTTCCTATCAACTTCACTTCTACTTACGCTATCTTTGTGCATGGCCACAGTTTGATTCATTTCTTCCGTTTTTGTTTTTGTATCGCTCTCTATACGTGCCTCCACAAATTCTTTTGATCCCATGTGCTAAATAAGAATAAAAGAAAGTAACATTGCATATACAATCAAACAATTTTTAAATTAAATTATTCATTTTCAATTGCACGATCAAAAATGATCTACTTATTAAAAACCACTTACCTTTGCTTCAAATTCGCGAAATTGCCTTTCTCGTTCTTGCCTATACTTTTCAATTTCATCCTGTGCTTCTTCTTTTGCCTGCTTCAATCTACGTGCCTTGCCTACAAGTAAAATTATTTTAGACCGCCTGTTTTCTTAATTCTCATCGCATTAGACGTGATTATCGGAATTTTGATAAACTGGTATAAAAACTTTGAAAGATATTTTCCTAAATTACCTGTTATATCGGCAAAGGTTAGTTCATTTTAATCGTAGGATACCGATCAACGATATACGTATACATCGAATTTATATTTATATTCAAAGTCGTTCACCGTGTAAAACTCTACGAATACTTCGAGTAAAGGGATTAATCTTGCTATACGTATGTTAAAACAATTCACTTTTCAATGAATTTAAAAGGTTACACCCATTTAAACTCAGGGTCACAGACAAATTTATTGCGGCGTATGTGTCGAAAACACATCATACGTTAAAACATGACTTATAATGCTTGAATAGAAACTCACGTTTCCTAGCTTCTGCAACTCTCTCCGCAGCCCTTTTTTCAGCTGCCAGCAGTTGTTGAATACCTTGTGTCTGGCTGGCCATCTTTGCAACGAACAGAGAGGGCTGTGTTCCAAAGGAATCACAAATCGATCATATGACTTTAGAGTTTCCGTTGTTTGCCCCGCCTTAAACGGTGGCGCTGTACGATATACTCTCACGTGGGTATCAAGACATTAATTCTCAAGGTAATTATACCAAACCAATAGCAGTCGTAAACCTGTTTAACATTTGAATGAAAAAGTATATCAGAGAGAAATAAACTTAGACATTAAATATTCATCGTTACATACCGATACTATTCAATTTGCAATTAAATATACTTTGTTCTTTGTTATTTCTTATATTTCATGACATATTTTGAAGCAGACGAGATATAAAAATAAACTCCATACGTGTACGTAATTATAAAAGTTACGAATTTTTTATCTAAAAGACAATTTGCCTTCGCAAACATTTTATATTTGCAAATTCTTAAATTTGCTATTTATTTTTTTTGTACAATATATTATACTATCATTATTATGTTACATTAGTCTGTAGGTAGTCATATGGGCAGTAAAATATATTTTATATACATTTTACATAATATATGTAATGTACAATAAGTTGTTAAAGGTTTACAAATTATTTATTATTTATAAAAGAAAGATATAATAGAATTTATACATATATATTAAGTATCTTATTTCCTTGAATGTTTTGCCTATATATTCTATCATAGTATTCTATTTCCTTGAATATTTTGCCTATTGTTTAATAAAACTTTTTCCTGACGTTTCTTTTCCTCTTTAAATGCTTCGCTATTTGCCTTCCGTTCTATTCGCCTTTCCTGAAAATAATCGCGATTAATTTCTTGCCTGGTATTGTATGATACATGCAAATAATTATCGCCACGATTTTACTTTTCTATATTCTTTAAGTGCTTTCTTCCTTTCCTTCCTTTCTGTAGAACTTTCATTCTTGGGTCTTACGCTTAATGTACTTAAGGTAGATTTCATACTTTCTGCGATAGACCGCGGATATTTTGGTTTACAGTCTTCATTTTGCTGATCAAATTGAGCCAATGTTTTAGCAGTTAATTTTCCAGAAGAATTATCTAAAATGTTTTTCGGTATACCAGTTCTTAGATCAACTTTGATCTTTTGTGGATGCTACAAAGATGTTTACACAGTCTAATTTGAAACGAAAATGAAGAATCAAATAAAATAAAACAAAGGGAAAGAAATTATCTTTAAACAGTATACCTTAGGTTCAGAAATTAACTTTGGATGATTATAAATATTACTGTATGTACTAATAATACTTTCACAGTCCCATTTATCCTTTTCTCTTGTATCAACAATAAGTTCTTCTAAACTGCTTTCGTCCTCAGAACTGGAATACTCTTTTTCCAAAATTTTCATTCTATCTTTCATTAATTGTCCAATATTGTCGGTCTATTAAAATGAAATAATGTTTAAGCCTTTCTATTTTTTATATGTACATATTATCTACTTACATCTTCATTTTGTTGTTCCTTAAATTCTGCTGCACATTGAAGAACTAAATCTGAGTTTGGTGCAATGTATCCTTCAATATCATCACAATCTAATGCACCAATTTCATTTTCGTCATATGCTGCATACATCTAGAATGGTAATAGTATATACCTATCATGCAAAGATATACACTATGGTAACAATTACTTACTTTTTCGAATTTGTCATCAAGAAGTGTTAGTTGTTCGTTTCTTTTTATTACACTGCTGCTCAGTGAATATTCTGTAAAACGGGATTTTATTTCTTCTTCTCTAAAAGTATATTGAGGTCCATTTAAACTGCACACTTCATCTTGTTCTTCATCGGACAATCCCATGTTTCCCTCAGATGAAACATCAGACATTTCTGCTGATACATTTGGATTACATTTTTAAAATATAAATCTGTTGTTTCATATGCTTGATGCATTTTTATAAATACATACCATATTCTTTTGGTGCAATATCACTATCAGTATCGCTTTTATTAGCTAATTCGATAAAATTATCTTCCAATTGGTTTTCTGGATCACTGTACTCAAAATCATCGTCCATAGCAGCAACTATGTCTGGATCTAAATCTAATTGTAACCCCGAAACTGGAGCTGCTTTATTCAAAAGTCCAACTTTTTCTTCCACATTTGAAGCAAATACAGAAGATGGTAAACTAATTTTGGGTGCATTCGTTTGGTCATTTGATTTCGAAGAATTGATACAATCTAAATGTTCCCATTCTGCTGTTAAAGAATTAACATCTTTAAGATGTTGTAAATAATCATAATCGTCGTCAAAATATATGCCATATTTTTGTTGCTCCTTTTTCCGTTTATCATCTAACTTTTTTCGCTCGAGTTTAGGTGCTTGTGTATCTCCAACAGGTACAAGTACGCGTTGCGGAGCTGTTTCATCGGCAATTAATGGATCTTTTTGCGATCGATGAACTAAATGAAATGTTATTGAATTTTTCTTATCAATGAACTTTTTTGTTTTTCCCTTCGGCTGAAAATTAAAGTGATCAAATACACAAGGTATAAATAACCTAATGCACAAACATACGTATAATTCGGTATATTTCGGTTTGTTCAAACTCACCATTTTTTAATCCTTTTTATTTAACTGGTAATATTGAAAACAAATCGATAAAAGAATTATTTATTTAAAACTATTCATACAGATTTAATTCCGTAATCATTGCCCCGACAGCAGTTTCGGAAAACACGAAAGCATGCGCTTTGTTAGTGATTCTCAACCTAATAGAAGAATACGTAAGATTTCTATACTTGAAACAAAATTACTCAATAATTACGTTAGAAATATCATTATTTCTACTACATTTATTCAGACTATGGAGATAGTAGGAGTTATGCTGTTTGTATTAATAAATCAAGTATAAATATTGTGAAAATAACGATTAAGTATATCTTTCATTCTTGAATTTATTTCCTTCTCCTTAGCAGGCAATATTACAGCATTGACTATTGATATTCGATAAACACGTAACAAACCTTCAAGAGAACACAGAGAATGGGGCTATTTGACCGTTTAGCGAATCTTTTAGGTCTTAAGAAAAAGGAAGTAAACGTTTTAGTAGTGGGCCTTAACAATAGTGGTAAGTCGACGGTCATAAATAATTTCAAACGCGAGGATGACCGTTGCATAGACATAGTGCCCACTGTCGGGTATAATGTTGAAAAATTTTCATGTAAGTTAAACAATGACGAGTGAACGACATTCGATGTTAAATTGACGTGCTTTAAAGCCGTATTTGTACTATATTACTTGCACTTGCTGATCTGTCCGAGCACCAATTGACGTTAACACGAATAAACAACGCAAATATATTACATTATAAATATTATTTACTTTTAAACAACAAATATATATGTATATAATAGGTATAAATAATGTACAAAACATGTGGAATATTACATTCTATCGAAAAATCTACCATTGAACAGTTACACTATATTTTTTCTTTGTCTTTTTGTTTTTTTATGGACTACAGTTTTTGAACTCTGGGCTTTTGATCGAGTAGAAGGTCTTATTTTCTTTTCTATTTTATTTTGCAACAGTTTTGCTGAAGTATCATTCTGGATTTGATCTTCTTCGGGATTATCATTTTTTGCAACATCTACTGTAATATCACTAATATCATTAATCAAATTGAAAAGATGTTCATTTGGTTTTACAGGAGTACTGGTATACGGTTTGTCTATCTGTGGACTTGTTTGTTTCTTTTTAAATACAGGTTCATTAGAAGATGTAGCATTATTATTATTATTCTGTAATTCTGAATCATTCGAACGAAATTTTAATCTAGTCTGTTTTAATTTTTTTTGTTTAAAATCATTTATGTTCGGTGTAGGATCCATGATATCATTATCTTGCTGCCTTACAGGTTGTTCTTTAACATTCTGCAAATCCTGCTTTTTATTATGAAGAGAAATATCTCTTTTACTGTATTCACGTGTACTTGAAATCTTAGGTGTACTCAACTTATCCTGGTTTTTTCTTTTCCGTTTCTTCCTCATTCTTGATTTACTTTTCTGGGCTATAAAAGATTTCCGTTGCAATGAGAAATCATTTAAATATCCTTCATCACTTGAATCGCTTAAACTCTGAAAATAAAAATTATATTTTCATTAAAATTTAGAACAACATTTGTTTCAAATAGCTAAGAATTCTACATACACTAATGCGCAATGGACTATCTTCATCATCTTGTTTAATCCATGTAAATGCTTTCATATTCAACATTTCTTCAAATGCTATATGCAAGTCAAATTTTTTAAAGCACACTAACGATGTTTCTAGATGTTTTTGTGTGTCCTTATCTAATTCATCCTGTGTTAATGACTCTACCTTAATTTTGTTTGGCCTAGCTGCATCAATATTGTAGAAGAGATATATAACTATATCTATATACGAATCAGTATTTTTGTTGTACATCATCAACAGTTCGAAATTAATTTGTGTATATCCTATATTAGTTTGTAAATTACAATTTTTTAAACGAGAAAGAGTATTCTGAAAGTTAAAATATATATTTAATATTATATTCCATAATCTCTCTGTTTCCTAAAAACAGAAGTTAATAAGAAGACATACCATCAATATAATATATTGTTGCTGTCGCACAAAATAAGCATTTACATGTTGCTTACAGATTCTCAAGAAATTCGGTATATTTCTCAAATCTGTAATAGGATATTCGGATACAATATCATTTAAATCAATTCCCATTGGCATTACCCATTTCCCTAAAGTTCCTTTGCCTTGGTTATTTAGAATTTGTACCGCAAAAATATTTTCTCTATCATATTTATTAGGGGGTGTAAAATGAAATACATATTCTTCCGCTGAAAATTTTACACAATGAAGACCAGAGTACTTATGTAATTCAGTCTCTAATTGAATATTGACATCTGGAATTTTAGTATTTAGATCACTGCTGGTGCTTGAAGGAAAAACACATTTAGTATTTCCAAATTTTATCATATCCAAATTCCATTCCATTTGCAAAATTATTGACTTCAATTGATGTATTTGTTCCTTCAATCGTTGTTTCAGTTCATCTGTAGATTCTAAAACAGAATAATACTTGGCATTATCTTTATCATCGATATTGTAGGGTTAGCTTGACTTAAACGAACATTTAGCTTACCTTCACGATTCTTCGCATTTTCTTCATTATTTATAAAATTTTCTACAATATTCTGTTCTTCCATATTTTTCAACAATTTATATAAAAACAACTTACTATTACTTTTAAAGGCTACCGCGCAAATGTATCATATTATGTTTATCGTGTTTATTTTCAGTGATTCTCATTCGTTTTAACGCAGCGTAGAAAAAACCAAAGAAAGAAATACAAATATACTTATTATTTATATATATATATATAAATACATATTAATTATGTCTCGTCATTTTATACTATTTCTAACAACTATTCGTCATAAAATATTAGTAATAGGTACAATGCTATTAAGATGTAATATATATTTCTCTTTTTACAGTTAAAAATGTTAGTTTCACGGCATTCGATATGTCAGGCCATGATCGTCATAGATCGTTATGGGAACATTATTATAAAGATTGTCATGGTATCATTTTCATAATTGATAGCAGCGACAAACTACGATTGGTTGTTGTTAAGGAAGAATTAGATATGCTTCTTCAGCATCCAGACGTAGCTGGTACATAAGTACTACTTTTTTATATCTTGTTACTAGATATCAGAATTGTCTTGGAAATAAAATTTTCCTACTGCATATTGTAGGTCGAAAAATACCAATTCTCTTTTTGGCAAATAAAATGGATTTGCCAGATTCTTTAACCACGGTTAAACTTGTTGCTGGACTTGGTCTCGATCGTATACAGAATAAACCTTGGCATATACGAGCAACGAATGCAATTACTGGAGAAGGCTTACAGTTAGGAATTGAATGGCTTACAGATCAAATTCGTGATATATACATTAATAAAAGATAAAAATAAATTTAATTTATAAACCTATTATTGTTTATAAAAGTTAATTATAGACGGAAGGCAATCGATTGTGTTATGGTTCGTTTAAAATTGAGCATTTAAATATTTCGTTTCGAATTTGGAACCGTGATTGTTACGAATGACATTTAAATATCGAACGAACGAACATCATGTGTTCACGTGACTCTAGCCGCCAATGAATTGGAACAATAAATAAATGCATCGAATCGTATTTCTACAGATATTTCATAATTAGTTTACATTTTCAGATGGCAATAATTATTAGTTTGTATCGTTGTTTTATAGGATATGTACTTTTATTGAGAACTTTTATATATAATAAATCGATGTATTCCTGATAGATGGCGTTTGCAAATGCTTTTCGTACGTCAGAGATTACCTATGCGTGGAACGTGTAATATCGATTTGTGACATTTGACAGGTGTTGATACGAATTTCTCAGATAATTCATGAAATGTTTGTAAATATGAAGAACAATATGAAAGGAAGTTATCCTTTCATGACATACGTTCTATTTACGATTTTGTTTAAATTTGTACAGTGCAACGATACAAATAAATATGCATTACTTATGCCAAATGTTAGACCATACAGGGTAAATATTCGTTGAAAAAGAAAAGTGTAGGAAATTATTATTTCACTTATCTTTAAATATTTTATCATATTAGCGTAAATTATGATACACTTTTCAATTCTTAGTTTATATTAAGTAGATAAATAAATAAATAATAAAGTAACAATGACGTTTCCTTTATTTTTAGGAAGAATTATATCTGTGTACTCCTGTCAAGGTAGATCCTACACGAAATTACTATTTGATCGGTTTTGAACCAAATGCAACAATGGCAAGCGCGCATCATATACTTTTATACGGTTGTAGTAAACCTGGTAGCTCGAAACCTGTATGGGATTGTGGAGAAATGGCAGACAGTAAAAATGATAACATAGAAACAATGATTCCATGTGCAGAAAATTCTCAGGTATACGACACGAAAAGAAAGAGAAAAAAGAAATAATTAAACGGTAACTCGACAATCTTTATGAAAACTAACGTGAAAAGTTTAACAATATTAATATCCTGTATAGATACTGTATGCTTGGGCTAGAGATGCACCGGCGTTAATTCTGCCAGAAGGAGTAGGTTTCAAAGTTGGCGGAGACTCTATGATTAAATATCTAGTTCTACAAGTTCATTATTCCCATATCGTGCAATTTCAAGATGGTAGAACCGACGATTCCGGCGTATTTCTCCATTACACGTTACGTCCAATGAATAAATTAGCTGGTGTTCTTTTGTTGGGAACCTCAGGTTCCATACCACCTAGAAGCACAACATACATGGAAACGGACTGCATAATAAAAGAGAACAAAACTATTCATCCTTTCGCGTATAGAGTTCATACTCATTCACTTGGGAAAGTAGTTTCTGGATATTTGGTAAAACCAGATTACACATGGATAGAATTAGGTAAAAGAGATCCCTTGACGCCTCAAATGTTTTATCCTATACATAATAAGGTTCCAATTAGTCAAGGAGATCGAGTAGCAGCTCGTTGCACCATGTATAGTACACGGGACAGTTGGACATACGTTGGCGCTACTAAAGCCAATGAAATGTGTAACTTTTATCTAATGTACTATGTCGAGGACGATGAGCCACTATCTTTGAAATTCTGCTTTACCAAAGGCCCTCCTGATTATTACTGGAAAGACGCTGAACTATTTAACATTCCTACTGTAGAGGCATCTAGTTTATAACGTAATATTAATTGCCTCGGCTGAAGATCGATACACGTACCAGACTGTCGATAATGGTATAGAGTCTAGCGGAAATATTTGATCTATTTGTTATAAAATAGAATTTGTTCTTTTATCGGTAATAGAGACTGTCGTATTTGTTACGAAGTTACGACAATCTATAGGTTAACATTACACGCGCTTTGTTCCTTCTCACAGTGTGATGCCCGCGCGGTTATTTATTTCTTGTTACGAATATTTTGTATTTGCAAAACAGTACTTAATTTTATATTAGTACACGAATGACCACCATGTAAGAACGTTCTACATTCGATCGACGAACGAAAGAAGATTTTATATTCGGCCTATAATGTTTCCTTTCTTTTTCTCTTTTCTTTTTTATGTCTATCTGTGATTAATTTCTACCGATAATCGTTGTTCGTGTATACAGTGAACGAAGAAACTTAGTATTATTAATTTCAGACGAACTCGCGCTTTCGCTGTTAATTAAACACCTTTAGTTCCATGTAAATTATCCGACGAATACGAAAGGAAAGTATTCTATCCGTCATTCTCGTCATATGTAATAGCGTAGTAATATTTTCTGGAAACTCAACGGTGCTTCGAATGCGTATGTAAGAGAAGGTCTTTGAAACTAAACACGACTGAAAGTAAGACATTTCCACGATATATTACCATACGATTTTATTTTGTCTATAAGCGTAACAAAACATGTAAAGAAATTATTTTCGAAGTTATACAGAAAATGCACAGGTGCATTTCCATACATTTTTTCCGAATAATACTATTTCGATACTTAAATAAATCATACATGTATATATTGAAAAATGCAAATCACGCAATTTTCATTTCGTTGTCCTCTCGCAACTTATTTTCACGTTGCACCGCACGGGTGTTCGTCCCTATTTATATTATAGCGACTTAATAAATAAGCGTAACGAAGGTTTCGCAAAGTTTATTGTCTCTCGTACATTTGGCTCTCTTTGAAAGTATGTCGATAAGCGCGGACGTACGTTTTCGGAAAACAAATGAACGGAGAAAGTGCAACGAGTATGTGAAAGAATCTATCAGAGATGCGTCGTCGAGCAGTTTAAAAGCTATCGCGGTCTTTCTCTTCAAAGAAGAAACGCGCATATTTCGCCGGCATTTTGTCGCGTACCGCTTCCACGTTTTTCGCGCGATTTCCCGCATTTCCCGAGATTCGGGAAACGATTTCCTCGAGTAATATCGTGACGGGAAAGGGAACGAGAATTACGTTCCGTGAAAGGAAAATTAATTCGCGTTTTCGTTCCTCTCGTGCTAGTTCGCGTGGATCTTCCGATACGTTTTAGACCGCCGATACTCTGGTTAATCGTGTCGATTCCTAAAGTTATTACGTGCAAAATTGAAAACCGGTTCCTCTCATTACACCCGTGCACGTATCAGCCTTCTCTCGGGGAATGATTCGGTGCCGATGATCGTACGATTTCGTTATTATCTATCCGGCTACGAGAAACAAGCGATTCCTTTTCTATCTATCTATAACGTAGCTTTCTCTTCTTTTTCTCATGCAAACGCGAAGAAATCGTGCACGAAGGTGAAATATCGGCGCGTGGTAGACGTAAAATTGGAGCTGATTTTAATATAATCGTGGTAACGTTAACACGGACTATCACGTAGAGATAACGAAAGGTAGATAGAGTTGTACGAAAGTAATCGATTGAATGATAAGTGGTAGCATCGAAACAACAGGATCCCGTGAAAGTAAAATCGGCTCGGAGCCCCGGTATACTTTATACTTCCGGTTCTCGAACGTGTTCTTTCGTACGCTACGTCTTGCGACTCGGTTAGTGGTTCGGTTGCTTCTTGTCAAACGAAAAGCCAATAAAGGTCGGGCACGAAGCTGATCCAGTAGGAGAGGGCGAAAAAGTAAGAAAAAAGCGTGGCCAGGTGGAAAAGGAACGGAATACGAGGCGTTGGACGGTAAGTTAGATCGGCGCGTCTCGACGCGGATTTTTCCGTCAAACCATGCCGGAACACGATCGTTCGTTTGACAAGCTATAGTTTCATTAGCACGTACACGAGAGAAAGTTAGCCAAATATTTAGTATGTTAATTGCGCGGGATTTTTTTAAACGAATCGTTTAACTTTCGTTCCAGATTTCGTAACGCGTAACATCGAAACGAAAACGAACTTCATTCCGACGGGAATAAATTGTTGCAACTCTCTCTCTCTCTCTCTCTCTCTCTCTCTCTCTCTCTCTCTCTCTCTCTCTTCCTCTCTCCTCCTTTCTCTGTCTCAACGGAACGGATTTTCGCGATTTCGATAAGGTTGGATGGTTTGCGAGCGAATGCGACGTCTTTCGCGATTACTTTTGCATACTTGGAACACGCATAGACCGAGTGGACGTAGTGGACGCGTTTGTCACCTCGACGATTATAGTTCGATAATGCCTCAATGAAAACGGCACGTCACGCGCGCATAAAGGTATGATAGTGGGGTAAAAGCGTGTCTCGTGGTTAGGAAAGCGAGCGAAGCACATGCAGCCCGATCGACCGTGTATGCTCTGCAGGCAACTTGGAAAGTAAGGCCTCGATCACGTTTCGTCCGACGCAGCTTGGCGCACAAACCAAGTAGACGCGACCTAAGCTTTGTTTCTTTTTTTTTTCATTTTCCCTCCCTTCTTCCCCGCTCTCCTTCTCTCCCCGTTCTCTCTCCATCGTATTTTACGTAAATAGCGTCCCAGCCAATTTTCTCCCCTTTCCGTTCCCATGCTTAACCTGACGTAACCTCGTTGGAATATGACTTTAAGACGAGGAATTTTGCATTTTAAATTCCGCCCGACGGAGTTTCTCTTTCCATTTCAAAAGCGGACACTGCGTTACAGTTATTTAACTACGCGAAAGTCTACGATCCAATTAAATCGCGTTGACCGATCGTGCAAATTTTCCTCAAGCGACCGGCTTCGTTTGACTTTGCTGTACGTAAATCGCGCGAACCAGATATACCTGCGGACTAGAGGATTCGAAAACATATCTTGCCCATTAACGGCGAACGAGGCTACATTGCGCCTCGACTCGAACGCGCGTATTTGTCAATGTGGCACGTCTTCGAAGAATTCCAACGAGAATAGATACGCGTTAAATGCTCGGCTTTCGAGAGTATCGTTTACTCCTCGTCTCGTTCCACGCATCTTCTTCTTCGCTCCGCCATTCGCTCTCCACGTCCGATCGAGGACGATCCAGACGTTCCACCGACCTTTCCCGAGATCGCGACAAATCGCGTAGGGATCCGGGCAATGAACGGGGATGATCCTTGCTTCTCGATGGCGGCTTGGCTCGATCGATACGTCACGCGTAAAACTGACGAATCCTTTGGAGGAGATGAACGCAGGCTACGACCACGACCACGACTATGTCAACGACGCGGCGAGGACGAGACGACGACGTCGACGACGACGACGACGACGCTAGGGGATGATGCACGGTTACGAGGGATGTAGACTAAACCCGACGGCGATAACTTGGCCGATGAGTGGAAGATCGGTGGTGAGAGGGTAATGGAAAGGAGAAAGAGAAAGAGAGGGAGAGAGAAAAAGAGGCACGTGGGACAAGAGAGAAGTCGCGATTGGTTAAGCCGGTTGGAAAAGCCCGCCTGGCTGCTCGACCGGCCGGCACTTCGCTCAGTTCTCCACTGCGCTCCGAACGAATCGGAGCTTTCGCCAAACAAATCCCACGAGAGTCTCGTTAGTTTCCGCGATTTTTCGGTCATATCACACGCCTCGACGATCGATCGTTCGATATCGCGGTTCTGCTCCGACACCTACATGTATACGCCTCGTATACGCGTGCATATCGATCGCTCAACGAGAGAATCCTACCAACGTTTTTAGAGAAACTGCCCTTTCATCCGTCTTGGTCCTTTCCCATTCCTCTCGCCTCAGTCCCCTCCGCCGTCCTCATCCTCGTCGTTGTAAACGTTGGCGGTCGCAAGTTTGTTCGAGGACGAAACGATACGAAAGAGAGCATAGAAGAAGAGAAACTATGCCCGTGGACGAAAAGGCGTTGCGATTTTCGGTTTAGGATTTCTCGATAGATTTACAGCTATCGTTTCCAAACGCAAGGGATTAGCGGTGGTACGTGGGAAAAGGATTTGCTACAATCGCGGTAAGTTTTTTTTTTTTCAATCTCTTTCCACTTTTCTTTCTGCTTTCCCGTTGCGTTCATCGATCGTTCCAAGTGTTTAAGAAACGGAAAGAGAAAGAGACGCGTTTCGTACGGGGCTAAAAAGCAAAATACCGTTTCAGAGGACTCGATTTTTGGAATCGAAAATTCGGCGGAAATTCGCTATTTCGTTTTACTCTTTACGCCCCATACACGAAACGCGTGCGCACATTTCGTACGTGTACCAGCGGAAATGAGTTCGCGCTAATGCTACCCATCGTTAACGAGTGGTCCGTACCGCGACACGCGGAACTGCTAGCAGCGGTGAAGGTGGTGTCGGTGGTGGCGATGGTGCGGTGGTTCGAGAATTCGTACCGTAACTTCCTCCCGGAGCGTATCGCGGAAATGCCGGAAACTCCATTCGAACGCGTTCGAAATTTCGATCGCGACTTTATTCGCGCGTAGAAGGGTAGTCGGCGTTCCACTTGCTCGCACGATTTTTCCTCGCTGCGTCCTCGTTGCCAGCATCCTTAAGCCGGAACAACATCGATCGACCGAAACTCGCGCTGCTGGGAAACATCGCGATGTTCGCCGTCGACTCGTAAAGTCGACTAACATAGTCGTACGTACAGTTGTCACGAATTCGACGAGCATGCGCGCAGCATTAGGGGCACGTAAATAACGAAATAGTAGTCCCTCGCGGAATTTCAATTATCGGCCATTCGAGTAGGAAGGTTTCCCCAATCGCGGTTTCGTTTGCCGGTGCATCCTTGATCACCGTTCGTGCACCCTCTACGTTCGCCGATTCGAGCTAGCTATTAGTAAACATCGGATGGCGATTCGAGAGAAAAGAATAAACGCGCGGCGAAGAGGAAGTCGATGGTCTCGCGGCAACGTTCGGTTTATCGCGTGTGCGTCGGAATTTTCGCCAACGTGGAAACGTCGATAACCGGAAGTTGCTTTAATATCGAATACGAATACGGCGCCAGAAACCGTGACATCGACTTGGCAAGCTTTTACTAAAATCAGCTCTTTCATGCGAATCAGCCTAAACGACGTTCACGGATAACATATATAGAAACTGTTCGAACTAGGTCGCCATCTTTTTTCCGCTATTCCGCAATACTCCGCGTACTCGTATCCAATCCCCGATTGGTCTGTTCTCGCGCGCGAAATTACATCTGTGTCTCCGTGTTTCATCGGCATTGCAGGAACAGTGCCAAAGTTTCTTCCCCCAGCGTGTATACGTTGGCAGGAAAATTTCGTTTCTATTCTCGCCACCCCGTCCTTCCGATCCACCACCTACGTATACGTAACAGGTAGGCTAGATTGCGGCTACCTAGCAGCGTCGATCTCCGAGATGATCGATGCGGTTACGAAATTAACCGCTTCATCCTATCCGCGCGTGTACGCGACGTAATCCAGACATTTACGTATTCGTATTCGTAGTTGGTGCTGTCATTTACGGTGCACGAAATATTTCTCGGTGCGAACCGTTCTCGGTTCGACTCGATATGTTCGAAGGTGAACACGGAGAGAGAAAGAGTCTACACGAGATACGGGATCGACGAGGAAAAGAGAAGAGACGGACGCGTTTCCGACCAACCATCGCGAAAAGAGTTCTTTATACTATATCCCGTTCTATCGTTTTACAACGAGCGAAAGAATTTTCTTCGACGACGCGACGCTAATTTTTATGAGACAAAGATCAGCAGCAGCAACAGCAGCAGCAGTGGTACATAGAGACAAATAAATATTCGACTAACTTACTCGGCGACCTAAATCGCGATTGCCAGGAAAGAATTCGTTCGAGAGGAATACGAAGGAAAGAAATACGCGGCGTACGTCTCTCCGTCTCGTTGTCGTAATTTATTTCATGGGATTGATGCCGCTCACGGGAACCCATAACTTTCGTTATTTCTCCAATCAGGTGGAAGACCACCTAGAAAAGAACCGGAGAAATCCTCATCGATGTAAGGAGCGAACACATGTAAATCGCGTGACCCCTATTCGGGACACGATTCCAACGGAAGTACAGAAAATCTTTGCCAACTATACGGAACTACTATACTTTCTTCTTTTAGGATCTCTACGTTAACGCCTCTCCCCACCTTTCTTCTTATCTTTCTTCCCCACTTTCGCAGTGGAACGCGGACAAACGCGCAACCACGATATTCCAAAGAAGCGAGATGGAAGGAGGGAAGGTGTCAAAAAAAAAAACAAAGAAAAAAGAGGAAAAATGCAAAGAAAGGGAAAAAAGGAAGAGGGAAAAGAAAATTAGCGTGGAATAGGGATTTCGTTGACGTTTTGAGAGACGTTAGAAGCGCAATCGGCGTTACGTTAAGCAACGACGAGGGTTCGATCGATTTCTCGGATCGAACTGTCAGGCTTATCTCGATGTCTGGACGAGCAAGGTCCGAGGTCTGCGGACCGACTACTTTTTCTCGCTTTTGCGGGCTTTTATTGCTCGCGCTATGCCACGTTCGGCTGATCGGCAAAGATTCGTGGGACTGCGTATCGGTATGGTTTCGCATGAGTATCCCGTACGAGAGGCAACCGCGATGAAAATTTCATCGCACGCGAGAAGAGGAGCGGTAGCGAGACCGAACGGCCTGCATACGTAATACACCTTCTTAGCTAATATAGGCCGGTTTGGTTTTGGGGCCACGGCTCTCCTCGGGGCCCTCTTGCCGATGTGTCTGGTTAAAGTCTCGTTTCTCCTTTCGATGAAAAGAACAGCTGTTTCGCTCTATTCGGCTGCTCGCTCTCGAGACATTTTCTCGCCACCGGTTCGCCTTTTCACCACCGTCACGACCACCGCGACGAGTACCACGCGACCACGTTCCACGGATCCTAGACACGCGTCCGCGATACGCTTACTCATCGATCGCAATTACGATCGTGGATCGTCGTCGCTTTCGTGCAACTGCGCCGAACGCTCGGTTCTCTCGCGTCGTTACGCGTCGTTACGCGTCGTTTCGCGTCTCGAGCAGGAACGTTGCATATACCACGATTGCCTTGTATGCTCCTTCTCGGTTATTAACCTCGCTAATTTCTCATCTTCGACACGGAGAGATATCGAAAGGCCACTTTCGATCGATTCGTCGACCGACCGGCCGATCGATCCATCGCGGAAGGATTTCGTTTCCCGGAAACGGCTGTTCGTTGCACGAGACGACTCGTGAACGTCGCTTCGTCGGCATCCTTCGTTCTCGGACCAAGGATACCAAGGGTATATACCTTCGGTATATACACGGAGGTACGCGCGTTTGCGCGAGGATACGACGATACGCGAAAATTTTGCAGCCGTTTACAGACACCTTGCGGATATTCACGCGGAGGTACGCGCGTTTGCGCGAGGATACGACGATACGCGAAAATTTTGCAGCCGTTTACAGACGCGTTCACACGCGCACGATAACCTTGTGTGGTCCAGAGGAGAGAGATAAAGTGAAACCATGGGGCCACGCTGTCTCGCGAGCCAACCTCGATCTCAGGGCCGTTCGCGCCGCACCGTTTCTTCCCGCTCCGGTTTTCGTCTGCCCTTCTCTTTTCTTCTCTTCTCCTCTCTCTCTCTCTCTCTCTCCTCTCTCCTCTTTCCTCTCTCCTCACTCCTCTCTCCTGTCCCGCTCTCCGTTCTCCTCTCCTTTTCCCTTCCCTTCCCTTCCCTTCCCTTTCCTTCCCTCTTGCTCCTTTGCCCTTCTCTTCTCTCCTCTTCTCATCCTTTACCCTACCCTTACTTTTCCTTTTCTTCCCCTCTCTTCTCGACCCTTAAATAACAGCCCGCTTAATTCGCCTATATTACATCTCGATGGTAACGTTTTACGAATCAAAGTGTTTGCGAATACGCGTTTATTGCTTTCTCTCTCTCTCTCTCGCCGATACTCTCGTCCTCTCTTTTCCCCCATCCCCACGCGTTTTTGCCTTTATCGTGGAACCGCGTGCAGCCGGCAAAAAGTAATTAGGAGCAGCGATGGCCATCGCAATTTTGCGTTTTTGGCGCACGATGAAATATATTTTCGAGATACCAACCGGAGCTGTAATGCGCGTGTATCGTCGCCCTCTCCTCTGCATTCGACGGTTAGTCCAAGCAGATAGGTAGAGTACGCAGGTAGTATGGGTCGGCTGCGATTCGGCACGTTTCGCGCATACCGAACCGTAAATTCGAGCAACCTTACTCTCCCATACCTCCCTGACATGATCCAACCTTTGACTCTTTGCTCTGCCGTTTCCTCTTCGTCGTAGCCAATTATTACCAGTTCCGTATTTTTCTATCCCTTTTTTCGCCGTCATCGTTCAGCACAACGACGTTCACGACGTGGTTCACCGACGTTGCGCATCGCGATTCGCGGTGCGGAAGGATCCGCGTTACAGAGCTCGCGAACCACGGCGATAACTTTCCAACCGTGTATAATTCTAACTCGTAAACGGCAATTATCGGTAGACGGCGCGTGACCAGTCTCGTTCCGACTGTACGCCGATTCTCGCGTCTACCTTCGTAAAGACGTCGTCTTTTTTCTCGATTAAACGAAACGGAACGAACGAAACTCGTTCTCGCGACGATTCATCGCGTCACTCGCTCGTTTGTCGTTAGCTCCAAGCAAGCGAACGTACGCGGCGTGTTTGATTGGAAGGAAAATAAGGAAAGAGGAAAGCGAGGAAATGGGAAGGTAGCGCGGTGGATTACGCGACGCGTTAATCGGTCGGAAAGGCACTCTCGCAAGAGGAACCACGCACGCGCGCTCTCGCGACGTCTACTTTCTCCGATCTTTCTGTTTTCCTTCTATACCTTCCAGGCAGTCTATTCGTGCGTCCATAAATTATGGTTAAGCAGAGGTATACGGCTGGCGAAGCGGGCAACAGACGTCGACGGAAATGGAAGGAAGAACCGGATGCAAGTCCGACACGAGGTGCTCAGCCGCAACTCATCATCCTCCCCTTCGCGAGAACCTTCGCGAGTACCTTCGCGAGGAAATATTTGCCAGGAAAAAGCTCACGCTTGCGCAACGCGACGCCAGACGGCACGCGTGTGCTCGGTGGAAATAGCGTTTCGTTATCGACGGGATCGGAAAATTTCGAGATGGACGATTCCGTTTGGGTTCGCGATCGGAGGTTCAAGGTCGAATCACGCCGAATCCGAAGGCGGCGTCGCGGAAGGCGGCATTCTTTGCTCGCCCGACCATGCTGGCCACGTTCTTTCTTTGGCAATCTTATTCCACACGGAGAAAGAGAGAAAGAGAGGAAGAGAGAGAGAGAGAGGAGCTCGGCGCCCGAAGCATCGTCTACCGTTACCACGTGTCTCTCTCTTTTTCTCTCTTTCCTTCTCGTTCGATATGCCACGATCATCGCACGTGCAAATACGATTGGAAACCGCTGCCAGCAGGCTTTCCGAAACCCGTGCGCATCCACCAACATCCCTTCGACCGACCTACATACTTTTCGTTTCTAAATCTTCGCTACCGATCTGCTCTCCCGCTTCGTCTCGTTCGGCAACCCGAAGATACGGCACATCCGCCATTTTCAAACTCTTTATTCCCCAAACGTTCCAAGGAAACACCGTCGTCCCCGAGAAAGGAAGGGATGGCGTCTCCAACGTTTCCTAATCCACGCGTTTACGCGACCAAGGCTGTCCAGGTATCGGACGGTATCGGCGGTATCGGATGGGAAGAAAGGCGAAGAAATTGAAAAGCCAGGCGTACGCGTATGCAACGATGACCACAGCGACGGCACCAAAGGACGCGACCGACCTGTGACCGAATCGGCGATGCGTGACCGTTGCGCGTTGTCGAGAAGTGATTTGCACGTGTCTACCTGGTGAAAGTATTACCGTCCAATCGTTCGATCGCTTTTGAATCCGAATTCGCAGGCGAGGTTTGCGCGTGCGCACGCGCACGTGCACGAGTACCTCGCGATTTTAACCGTCCTTTCTGGCCCAGTCCCCGGACGTTACAGGCACGGTCGCGTCCCTCCTTTTACGGAATTTATTTCGTAACCACGGCCCATCCGAAAGGTAAGCTACGCTCGGTTCGCCACGATCGACCCTTCCGCTCGCAACCGCGCGATTCGCCGTCGTTCGAATCCAGACGCGCCATTTCTCCACGCTCTCCGACGAGTATGCGGACACACTGGCCGATCGTCGGTGGATGCGTCTGGATCGTGGGAACGCGGTACGCGAGTAATTCGATGGTCGCCGTTTCGACCAAACCAACGCACGGCAGACACAGGGGGTTAATCGAGGGTAGTAACGTGGAGAATTCGTTGCGATTCTCGTCTTCCGCGTCGTCTCATTCGAAATTTTATCCTTTCAGAAGATGCCGGGAAGATCGCCGGACCTCTGTAGATGGCTCTTTCTGGCGGTACTGTTTTGCTGTTCGTCCTGTCAAAGCGCTACCTCCACGTTCGAGAACAAGACCGGTGAGTCCGTTTTCCGTTCTCCTCTTTTCGTCCTTTCCGTTTGTAATTCCTATCGACGACCCTCTTGCCGGGCCAGCAAGAAACGTAATCGTCTGTCTCGGTCGAGGTAGACGAACGACGCGTTGCGACGCGGCTCTCGCGACCCAGTCGATGCCGCTCTTGGCCTCGCCACACCGAGCTTTCCGCGTAAAGCGTCGTAGGAAAGAACGAATCGATTCGACGCGATTTGGCGGAATCCTTCCGGTCAGTCCGATTCCGATTCCGATTTCGAGTGACCCGATGCTCGAAGAAAAACGGATCATCCCGTCCAAGATCGCGAAGCTTGCTTTCCTAATTCCGGTAAACGTCTCGATTCGTAGAGATACGCGGTATTTAGTAAAAACGTATTGCCGTCGTCGAGAAATTTTACGTACACGTTTACGTGTGCCTAAGCGTGTGTGCCGGGTCAGTAGGTCACTCAGCTCGGTGCTAAAAGAACACTCACGCGTATCGATACACGTGCAACCGTAGGAAAACGCTCGTACGCGCGCGTATATTCGTCCGTGAGACGACACAGGCCTGAAATTCGTATCTCTTCGTTGATCCAAACTTCGCATACCTACGTACAAGCGTATCGGAACGATCGAGGAGTGCAGTCGACGACGCGCGAGCTTAAGCGTGCTAGCGTCCAAGTCCTCGCCGAGGAATCGAAGAAACACGGAGAAGGTACCCGAGATGAACGTGCACGCGTATATACAGCGTCGAGTGATCTTTTAACAGGAGCGATTCGAAGCTCGCGACAATAAATCTGGGACACGAAAGAAATACGTTCCTCTTGTCTCGACGGTGGCAGGGACTGCAAGCACTTAACCTTAATGAATCTTTGCTCAGTTGTCCGGCGTGCCCTCGCGAAAAACAGGCGTACTCGCACGTTTCTACCTTTCGCGTACGTTCGCGCTCTTTCGTGTTCGCGTGTACCAGACTTTTGCCCGCGACGTTTGACCGGACGCTCGCGATAACCTATCCCCGCGTAGAAATTTTCTCCAACGGACACCTACGTGCGTAAATACGCGTTTCGGATATCGTCGATGCATCGTGTACCGCGACGCGACTCGAGCAGTGGCGCCTGCAGGCCACCTCTATCTACCCCTGACAGACCTTGCGGTCTCTCCGCGACGCGCGCGTTCGCTGAACTTTGACTCGTCTCCCCAACGCTCCGATCGATATATCACCTCCTCCTTCATCCTTATCTTTCCTTTTTCTTTCGCTTTTCCTCTCCGTTTTCCTTTCCGTTTTCCTTTCCGTTTTTCTTCCGACTTTTCCTTCCGGCGACGAACACCGTTCCGTACTTTTTATATCGCGAAGAAACTTGGAAGCTTCTCGAGAGCTCGCGTTTTCTCCTCGCATTACCGAGACGAACGGGCGCCGTTTCTATTTCTACGGTACCGTCGCGCATATAGCCGAGCATAAAACGCATCGACTCGCGTTACGAGTAGAAACGGACGAGAGAAATGCCGCCGTCGGGATCGATATCGATTTTCCTCCGCGAGCGAAAAGACGCGACCGTATTATCGGCGTTTACCACCGATCGCCACTTGGAATCGACGATACGTGAATCCGACTGTTTTGTTCGCAGGTCAGAATGAGAGCAAGCCGCGCGTGTTTTCACCGAGAATGGATTACGACGAATGGACGCCCCTTGGCCGTGGAGATCCCTTGAAGAACAATCCTACCTTCGATTACGTTCCACCAGTGCTCGACAGAGTTCAATACTGGCTGGATTCTCACACGACCGAACCGTCCGCGAAACGCGACATTCTCGTGCTGGGAGTGACCGCGAAGAAGACTAGCCCTAAAATACCGGAACAGTTCTTCAAGTTCGTCGACGGGCCAAAATTCACGAGATCGAACCATCAGGACGTCTCGTACAGGAACGATTTCACGGGCAGTACCGGCGCGGAACCGCCGAAACTCGTGCGTACGACCAACTTCAGAAACGGGCCGATCGACTACAGAAATCAAAATAGAATTCAATCGATGCCCGCCAGCTATTATCCTAGTCCGTTTTACAATCAAAAGACGAAGCCTTACACGATGATGCTGCCGCCGCCGTTGACGCAGAAGGACAAGATCGTGAGCTTCGTCGAGCCTACGCAACAGTTCAACACGCAAACGGAAGAAGGGCCGGTCCTTCAGGAATCGCAGTTCTACGTGCCACTACATCCGTCCAAGAGTTACAATCAACAGCAGCCAGGCAAGTCCCAGTCCCAATCTCAAGCTTCTTCGTCCAAGTTTCCACCGAGCAAGAATCCGACGCAGACCGTGTCCACGCAAGTGGAAACGGTGAAGAGCGCGTACGGTCCTGCGTCGTCGCAGCCGACCAAGCTAAAGTACGAAAGCTTGACGACGCCGTCGGTTTCCTTCGAAAAGTCCAACTTGATCTATCAATCGACGCAAACCCTTTCCGCCGCTGGTTGGCCGTCTGCCGGTACCAACGGTGCACCGTTCTCCACGCCGACCATCTCGGACGTCGGACAATCGATTCGTCAGACCACGGACTACTCTCGCGATCAGTACGAGATCGATCATCACGTCGCGGCGGCATCCTCGAATCACGAGGTGGTCGTCGAGCAAAACGCCAACATAATAGTCGACGGAGACAGCAACGAGAACGAGGAGGTGGTGATCGGACAAAAGGGCGCGGTCGATTCGTCGAATACGGTGTCGTCTGCCGCGACCACGGCCACTACGACCACCGTGGCAGACCCCCATGTCGGCAACGGCGACAGGGGAAAGACGGAAGAGGACTCGACGACCGATCGATCGGTCGAGAAGATGCACATCGTCGTAGCCAATTCTCCTCAAAGCGTGGACGTTGAGTCGCACGAGGCGAAGAAAGGAGCGGTGGCGGTCGTGATGCCGACCAATTATTCGGAAAAATGGTCCAGTTATTCGCCTACGAGTACGGTAACGCCGCAAGTCACGACGGCGCCGGAAACCGCCACGATCGGCGTCCAGGACACCTATGCAACGGGGACGGGGACGGGAACGGGAACGGAAATGGCTAGCGACATCTCGTCCAAGCTCGAATTCCAACCGATTCGAAATTCCGTGATCGGATCTCCGATGTCGTCGGAGAGCTCTCAATCCTCCGTCATCTTACCGAGCAAGATGATGTCGCCGGTTCACCAGCAGCACGCCGTGCACTTTCATTCCACGATGACTCCTCCTCCGTTTCCCTCCCGACATCCCGCTGATCCTTTGCACGCGTTCGCGCCACCACCGGCCCCTCTTTCATCCATGATGCATCCACAGGCTAGACCTAACCACGGCACGATGCATCTTATCGGTGGCATGCGTCCGACCATGGGTTTTCGAGCACCGGCTTCGATGCCCGTGTTTCCACCGATGACGCACATGCACGCGCCACCGCCCGTCAGGTCGCCGATCGATCACGTGGGATCCCCGATGATCGCGATGGATCAGTCGTCGGTACATCGGCCGCCACAGCTGCAGCAGGATTTCCCTGTCGGCATGTTCGTCGATTCTCCGGCGCCTTCGACTCTGCTCTCGCAGGCGATCGGCGCTGACGATCATTTCTTCGATCGACATCGATCTCGTGTCCCGGAGTCGACCACGTCCATCTACACCACGCCTACCTCTTCTCCTTTCCTGCCTACCGTTTCCTCGTCGCTCGAAAATTCCCCTATGGCCAACACTCGGACGCAAGCTTCGGAAACGGGAAAAATCGTGGCAAGCAACGAAAAGGAGGAGCACGAGCAGGGGGAGGAAGAAGCGGAGGACGAGCGGAAAAAGGTATCGATCGGACCCACGACGACCCCGCGAATAACCACCGTGCCAAGCTTGACCACCGATCCCATTTTCTCGCACTACAAACAACCCGCTAAACCCATCCGTGGCCCGATGTACCTCATCATTCAAGGTCATTCCAAGGTGAAGACTTACAAACCTACCGTGAGCAAGCACGGCGTATCTGTGGAGGGGAACGAAATACCGGAGAGCATTACCGAGAAGCAATTGTCGAAATTCGAGCAATTCGTGCAAGAGAACACGAGGAACGGAAATCGCGCCAACGTGGCCTCGATCGAGGAACAGAAGAAGAAGAAGAAGGCGGAGGACAAAGCGCGTGCCGAGAAGCTGGCGCGAGCTCGTCAGAACGATCTGATGAGCCTGGTCGAGAGCGGTTTGGCCAGCTTCACCGTTTCACCATCCTCCTCCTCCTCCTCCTCCTTCTCCTCTTCCTCCTCGTCCACCACTTCGTCCACCTCTTCCTCCTCCTCCGCCGCCACCTCCTCCACCTCCTCCTCCTCCTCCTCCTCCTCCTCCTTCTCTTCCACGACGGAAGACGAGCGTCGAGGAAACTCGGTGACCATGATCGAGATCAACGGCAATTAAAACTATTCGCGACGATCGACCTACTGGAACCTTCCGCAATCGAAGAAATTCGACCGAGCGAATCCGCCGGGGATCGCGGCTGTAATTAGTAGCGAGATAGCCAACGACGCGGCGCGACGATCGAATTTCCTTCAAATTTCTCCTTTTCCTCGCGCTACTCGATCATTTTGTCACGTATTCTTTCCGCGATCATCTTCGCAGAGGCTCACACACACACGCGCGCACACGCACAGGCTAACACACACACGCATACACACACAGAGACACAATCGGTCAGGATCCGTGGTGGATTCGCGATCGATATCGATCTTATCACGGTCTCGTTTTATCGAGGCGAGGATGCGCGCCAATTTCTAATGTGCCAGTATACGTACACGCGAAAACGCGCGTTTAATCGATACGTACATGTACGTATATCGCGTATGCGATACACGTGTCACGCGTCGTGACGGACTAGCGGATTGCTCGACACGATCATGTGTTTCGAACATGCATGCGATTAAAAACGGCTCTCGATGGAAGTTACCGCACGATCGATCGTCATCGCGCTAAACGATCCACTTCCACTTGCCGCTGCTCCCGCTGCCGCTGCTGCTCGTTATACTCGAGAAACTCGATTCGATCGTCCTGGTGGACGTAACTCGAGACGATAAGCGGATCGTTCGCGTTTGCGTTTGCGTTTGCGTTCGCGTTCCGGCGATAAAAGCCAGATTCGCGTAGACCCCCAGATGCCACTCTCGCATGCGATTCGCATTGTATTATTAACGCTAGTCTTACGTCTACCAGTCACCGTGCTTATCGTGCGTGCACTGATATCCAACTTTGTATTCCAGTCGTTTCATTCATCCGTTGAAATTGGTTACGATCGCAACGGTGATCACGTATGTCACGTATCACCGCGTGTGTATCATCGGAGTTGCATTTCCAGCTACGTTTCCCACGAGGGGTATTCGCGTAATCGACGTTACACGACGAGTAAGAACGATGGTTTGTGCGTGGCATCGTGATCGCTCACGTATGTACGCGAGATTTACGAAGAGCGTAAGCGAAACGGATTCGGAGCATCGTTTTCGTACGTACTCTGTTAAGTGTGTACTATGTTACGTATGATGAACTGTACCTGACGGTCACACGTTTTGTTGATTTTCCGTTTATCAATAAATTATCGCATTATCGGTTACACCATGCGTGTTACGTACATACGAACGTGGAACGTCCATTTCGTAGGATCATAGCGGACCTCTGCTGAGCGCTTGTAAGTATTATGCATCGATCGATCCGATCCGGTTCGAAAGACGATACGAAGCGGTGCGTCAGTCATTTTTATCCAGCACCGTTGAAACGCTCGAATCGAAAAGGAAACGACATTCGATTACACGTCCACTGGATAATTTATCGCGAGAGGAGACCCTCGGGAGTATTCGCACAGAGTCAAAGCTGCCGAAACGGTACTTCGTCACGATTTATCGACCCTAATGAGCCTTAATTCTCGCCCTCGAATTCGACCATCTCCCAACGATCAAGAAACGCACCCGAACCTCTTTCCTCGTAATTAGCGTGGCAACGAACGGAGAGAAGCTACGATCTCTTAACCACCGACGACGAACCGACAAACTCGGGTTACCCGGGTCGTTCCGTGCACTTCCCGAGGAAATTTATATGCGCGCATACGCGTACACCCAAACTGACCAGAGAGAAACGAAGATCGCGGTGTAGGAGTGGCGCGAATTTAAAGTTAACTCATCGCGTAATCGAGTATCAATGTCCATAGCGCAAATCTCTCGCGAAGAGCTCAGGGTTCGTAGCTGCTTCTGCTGTTGCTGTTGCGTGTGCTCGTGCCGAGTAAAACAGGACGCGAGGAAAATGTAAAGATACCGACAGGTATGAACGAACCGATCGACCGGGCCCACGCCGATCTTGCACGAGACGACACCAGATTTCGTTCGTATCGACGCCTTTCTCACCGAACGATCCAACGATTCCGTCTCGTCCATTCTCTCTGCACGTTTGCTCCGATCACCCTCTGTTCTGTCCGTCCCGTTACGGGTCGTGGGGTGGTACGGTACCACGGTTAGACAGTCGCGATCCTTGGACCACGCGCGAACGGACGAATCGCGATTCGCGTCAGCGACTTCTCGACGGAATTTGTTGCTTTAGGAAGTCGAAAGTGAGATTAAACGATCCGAGTTCGAAGAACGGTGCACTGGACGGACTGAACAATTTCACGATCGAAGAAAAAGATATTCTCGTTGCAAAGTTACCAAAGGAGCCAGGAGAGAAGCACAGTTTGCACTTGCAACTTCGGACCCTTTCTTTTTCGTTTCCGCGGCGAGACGGTGCTGCGCCGCGACCGATGCGAGCAACGAGAATCTAACACCTCTTCTTCGTTATCGGCAACGAAGAAGAAGAAGAAGAAGAAGAAGAAGAAGAAGAAGAAGAAGAAGAAGAAGGGAAATTACGATCTACGTTGGATTTTTCCCGGACGTAATCGCGAGATTACCGCGAACGCGAACGATCGTGGCGAAAAGTGGGTCGTCGTTGGTCTGGTGGTTAAAAAGAGAACATCGATCGGATGGAAAAGGAGCGGTGATCGGTAGCGAGCGTGCATCGAGAAGAATATTCGATGGAAAATTTATTCGGGATCCGAAAGGAAGATACGGAACGTGAGAAAAATGTCGGACTGGAAGACGGCATGGACGCGCACGCGGATAGAGAGGCGCGATGGAAAGGTCATACCTGTCAACCTTAATGAAAGTTAAATGGGCGCAGGGACGAGCTCGCGGCATTATCTTACCGTTAGCAACGATTGCGTGGGTATATATCGATAGGACGGAATCGCGGCGGCCCGACGCGGAAACAGCTTCGCGAGACATCCCGTCTATGCCAGTTTTGCCAAGGGGTTGTCGTCGGTTGAGCAACGTCCAGCCCGCGTTACTCTTTCGATCGGCGCGAGCGCACGCACGCGCGTGTATCGTCACCGTTTGCCAGAAACGATCGAGTCGAGATAAATCGAGGAAACGTTATATTTATTTCTAGGAGAATCACGGAAAAAGTTGCTCGGCCATTTGTGGCCGAACGAACGCGTCGCTCGCATCCTGTTGTAGTTCGCTCTATCCTACGCACTCTTCCTTCGCTTTTTCTCCGTATTTCCGTCGATCACCGGCTATTCGGGAATCTCCCGTCGTTGCAACTTTATCCTTCGTCGTTTAAATTTCGTTCTTTCGTGTAACAGAATTATCGCTGCACCGCGACCGCCGCACGATCCGATTCGTCGGATACCAACACGCGTTAGCCGATTCACCCTCGAATGTCGCCAATAGTGTCCGAGTGGCCGATGCTCATCGGCCACGGTCTACGAATTCCCAGTTTTCTTTTCTCCCATCTCTGCGTCTTCCTTCTCCGCTTCTAAGCGTCGCAATGCGTCGAATCGCGTCGCGACGCAACGATAATCTGGAACGTGGCGTTCGTCTACGTCTACGGGAAGCACAGGCCTCATTACACCACTGTGGAAACTAGAAACCAGTTGTAAAAACTAACCCAATATCGGTGTCTCGGTACCTCTCTCTCCCTGCCCCTTCCGAGCACAGCTTCAAGACCCTCTTTGGTCTCGCTTCGATTCTGGTACCTGGAACCCACGCATCTGTCAGCTCTCTAGCTCGTCGGCTCTTGTGTTCTAACGCGACCGAGTTTGCCAAGGAATCAAGAATTATATGCTCTCGATCGACGAAATGGTAGCGAGACGGAGCGCACTCTGTCGCGGCCAAGTTATTTCGAAAAGACGACGATCGTCGTACGCGTATCGCTCTCTCCGTCGCGTCAACGGGCAAGAATCTGACGGAACGGTTCGGTATTATCGAATCGAGTATTATCGTTTGCTCCATTGTGCGGATACAACGTTGTTTCGTTTGAAAGTGCGATTTGCCGAGTATTACGTACGCGCGACCGCGATTTCGCGAAATTTCACTCGAGTCGAAGAAGCTCTGGCGCTATCTATGTTCTCTTCGCCGGTTCGCGGTTTCCTTCCATTCCATCTTCCGACGTACCTAGGCATACCTAATTTCAAGTGGTCGCGACGAAAATGTAGGTAGGTAATGGCGGCGAATGACTTGGCCCGGTAAGCTCGCGGAAAGAAAGGAAACAGTACGTGAGTTCTAGAAACACACTGACGACTCGTCGTTTCCTCGTATCGCTGCTCGTATCGATGGTTCGCTGCATGGGCGCGCTAGACATTGCGAGTGTCCCACGTCCGTCGAATGCCGATCGCTTCCTGTCGCGCTACGATTCTCTTTACATCCCTCCCTCCTTCTCTCTCTCTCTCTCTCTCTCTCTCTCTCTCTCTCTCTCTCTCTCTCTCGTCTGTACACGCGAAAGCGATCGATAACGCGGTCTAGCTTTTGCAACCGAATACCCAACGAATCCGATTTCGCGAAATTCGGTGCTCGCCTGGGGGTCCCCCTCTCGAGAGTATACGAGAGTATGCGAGAGTATACGGGAGGATACGGGAGTATTGGGGAGTATAGGAACAGTATGCAGACGCGAGTGACGAGATAGAAGGAGGAACATCCGCAGTCCGCAGTCTGCGGCGACTCACCGATCGAGAACGCGCGATGACACGTGACGCGTCGCGATGCGACTCGATGCGATGGAACGCGACGACCTCTTTTCGTTCCTTTTCGTATTTCCCTTTGGATGCTCGCGTGCACTAGAGCAGAGAATAGATCAGAGAGAATAGAGAAGGAAACGGTAGGATCGATCGCGCGATTTCCGTTATGCGACGCCTTATCGAATTAAGCGAATGGCAGTTCCGATGCGGCTGACGCGTGAATTCTTTGCAGCGGTGAAAGTGGAATGGAAATTACATCCTGCTCGTGTAAAGCAAGGTCTTCGTCGCGGGACACGCGACCAATGTCTCGGCTTAGTCGAACCTAGTAGCATAGTCGGATTCGCGCGAGAAGAATGTTAACGCAGATTCGAAACGAGTCAAAAGGCTTGCTTGCACGTTTACCGACAGCTGGCTACCGGATACAAAAAGGAAGTCAGTCGCCCATTCGAGCGGCGAGGAAAGTGTCGTTTTGGTTCCGGGTACGACGACCCGTGTCGCGCTGTCTTTCTTAGTCCTCTACTTACGTTACGTTCCAGCCAAGGGACTAGATACGATAATTGCTCCAATCACTCGCGTACTTGGCAAATAAATCGTGCTTTCGTTGCACGGTTCCTCCTAATCCGAGAAGCGAGCGATCGTTGCGCACCGCGTATACACGGCAGAGTAACGCGCGAGATACCCGTTACGTAAACTTATAGTTTATTATCATAATTATTACATGCGAAACGATGGTCGTAAACTTACATATCAAAATGATTAATCAATGCGGATACATATTACGAAACGTAACTATACAAATATATTTATATCACAGTCGTAGACAAAGAAATCAATGTATTAATCGATATCGAAGTTGTTGCATGCAAACGGTCGAGCGATCTCTCGAGCAAACGAATACGTTCGATACACGACGATTGTTTCTCACCGATTGCTATATAAATACGTTAACGTTAATTATCTTTGAACGCGAGAAATTCCATTATTCTCCTCCGATATTCCTCGCGCGATACGCTTCAAGGATGACGACGACTACGACGCGACGCGTCTTTGGAGCAGAAAACCCAATGTTTACAACCACCGCGCTCTCTTCGGCCACCGTAGTTTTCAAGCTCCTTTCCTAACTTTCTATCCTTTCTTAACTTTCTCCGCTATTCTTTTCTTTTCTCTTCTCTTCCCTTCCCTTCCCTTCCCCATTTTCCTACCATCTCCGTTTGACATTCTAAAACTTCGATGCCAATAACGTTAACGAAATAGCGACAAGCTGTCCAGCAGTAAGAGGATTAAAAGTTACGCGTGGCGTCGGAAGGATCGGCGTATCGAAAAACGTTCAGTACTAACGATCAACGTCGAATAACAAGAAAACGCTATTATCGTCGCGATGCTTACATTTAAATCGCTCCTCTAAATACATATAGGATGGTAGAACCAGTCTTATCGCAGTCGTTATTCGGACAGTATTCGCGCAAAACGCATTACTTTGGAAACCTGATAAAACTCGGAGCATATAACACAGTAGATTCTTGGATGAGCATTAGAACGCGTCGACAAAAACGAAGCATTTTCCCGATCGTGAAAAAGTCACGATACGACCAAAGTTCGTAATACCTGAAAAATATTCTCCATCATCTGTTCGCTCCACGTCGTTCCCCCGCGTTTACGTGCCTCGTACGAGTTCGTTCGAACCTCTTCGAATAGAAATTCGTCGAGTCGCGCGACTCGACGATAACGCAGTTAGGATGAACAACGAACGATGAGCGACGCCATGATTCTAAGCACCCGCAAGAACATTATCGCAGAGAACCGAAATCTTAAATTCGCGCGAAGCATTTAAAAGACGTCCTTAAAGGCGTACTCGCTGTACGCTTTTCCTAAACGAGGTCGCCGAATTGCAAATTTCGACGACACATCTAACAGCGCGATATTTCCATAGCTACGATTAGAGGAAAAAGGAATAACGGGCTATCCATTTTGATTCTCGCTTTTTCTCGATTCGGAAACGTTGCGCCCATTCGAAAATTCCTTTTCTTCGCACAGTGATCCTCGGGCGGCACTCGAGATTCGTAAATTCCTTTCAACGATCACTCGTTTGTCACGGAAAACAAGAGAAACGGAAAGAGAAAGGAAGAGAAAAATGAGAAAGAAAAAGAAAAGAGAGAGAGAGAGAGAAAAGGAAAGGATAATCCGTGCTACTTCGAGACGACGAGAGCGCGAAAAGAAAGCCGCGTGTACGTATGTATACCGAGAAACGGAATGTGGCAGAAAGACGGATAGATTTGGCAAATCGTTTCGTCTCGCTCGTCCACGAGAGCTCGAAGGATACACGCGTATCGCGATGATTCGCGACGCCGGAACAGGACGCATCTCTTATCTAACGGATAACTCTATCGGATAAAATTTTCCTAGAACATATAGGCGCAACGGATGGGACGAGTGCGTGTGCGTGTACGTGTGTGTATGCGTGTGTGAGTGCGCGCGCGGGCGCGCGTGTGAGAGTGTGCGTGGAATTACGAGCGCGAACGCTCGTTCGACTCGGCGTTATCTCAGAAATTCGCTTCCAAAGAATTTTCTAGCTCGTTCAAAGGTGGCACCAAGGTTTGCAAGGAGAAATATCGCGATCGATCGGCCGCGTCGACGCTCGTCACGTGCTGAAATTGACAGGGTTGGCTGATGTTGCTCTTGGCTGGTAAAACCACTTTCTTCTGCACAGGTTTCTTCTTCTTCTTCCCGGGTACCGAGAGACTAATGTTCTCCGGACAGGAAACGAGTCTTTCTATGTGTTGCCAAAGGTCGTTCGCAGCCTTGGGATTGTCGAAGCTGAGGCCCGCGAGACGCGTGTGATCGGACGAAAGGCACATCGTATGGAAAGCCGGGCCAGATACCTGCGAAAAAAGCACGACCAAGTGAATCTTACCGGTCGATCGTCCTCATCGTCTATCGACATCGTTCATACCTTGTACGACGATAAATTGTCGATGGTCTCTCTCCAAAGCGTGAAACAGGTGCCACGCTCGGCCAACAGAATTTGGATTCGTCTTTTCGATCTCGATCGCGTTTCACCGAGATCCAGTACCACCACGGGAATTCCGGTGAATCGTAGTTCCCATCTTTCGGTCTGCGACGAGTTTCCCAGGTACAAGTTCGCCAACGATTCGCAAACGAATACCTGTGGTTCGAAGTAAAAGCGAGTTGGAGACCGGTGCAAGAGTGGCGTAAAAGCGGAAAGCCAGCTTCGATTACCTGAGATTTCAAACCTCGGAAAAACGTTTCGAGTTGCTCCCGTTCCATTTGACTGACCGGTTCGAGACGAGATTCGTCGCTGTTTTCGGAACTGTCGCTACCCTCGTAGCTCGACGTAGCCGAGGTATCCGCCTCTCCCGTCGACGACAATCGCCTTCTCGCTGCTCCGCTGTATTCGCTGTAATAGGACGAACCGTGCAGCGACAGGTTCGACTGCAACGCAGGGCAGGAGGATGCGTATACCGGCGGCGGAGCGTTCATCTTTACCTGAAAAACAGACGGACCTTCTCAATTCGAGAATCGAGCAACTCGTCTACGGACGACGGACCCTCTTGTCTCGCGGTCGGGTCGATAGGTTCATCATCTCCTTCACGCCGAAAGGGAAAAAGGAAAAAAAGAATGGGTCGTGTTGGGTGGAACACGATGACGCAAGGGACATCGGCCGATAGCGGTATGGATAAAGCTAATCAACCAATAGCGTTTTAGCGACGACCCACTTAATCAAGGCGAGAAAAGTCCCACTCTCGTTCGACCTTAATTCGATCACAGCGACGCCTTTAACGAGTTAGTCGGCTGACTAATCACGATATATACGGGTTGTCGTATCCGTGGTACACGAGCGACGGGTTCGGTTCACCCGGAAAGAATTCCTCGAGTTCGAACCGAGCCTACTACTGCCTACGCGGATTCGACGGTGCGGGTCAACCGTGAAAACGCGATCGCGTTACCAATTCGACGGTGTACGTGAGCGTAAACGTAGGTAAACATTTTAAGGGATGATTTTTGCGTAACAAGGCCCGAAAAATCTGTGACGCGGGGGTAGGTTTCGTGGAAAGGAAAGAAAAAGAGAAAATACGCCCGCATGCCTCGCGTTCGTATCGATGTAACGATACACGTATGCACGCGTATACTCGGAGGGAGGAAAAGGGATGGCGGTTCGTGTGCGCGAAACGCACACCGGAAGCGCATTGTCCGCGTTATCTATAACGTTTATAACGCGCTCAGCGAGGATGCGCCATTATTTCGAGCCGATAAGAACTCGGGACTGTTTGCTCGTAGATCGACTCGCGATAAATACGCTCGCGGATCGTTTCTTCTCGCGTTCTCACGAGACCGCCTGATTGTTCGCCATGTTCGTGGGTACGAAATTCTCCGTAGCTTTTTTTCGCGTCGGGAATGTCCCGAGAAAAATCGGCCATCTTTTTCGCTACGCAGCGCTACACGTATACTTACGTGTATACCTATATGCGGCGAGGGGAACACGCAAGATCTCGATATCGGTATTTATTTTAACGTTACGATCGTACATCTTCCTTTCGCTTCGATATTTTCATCGACCCGTTATCGGTCAATTACACCGCGATATCTTTCCAACGATCAACTGTACCTCTCTGATAAGAGAGACTAACGCAATCAGAATTTTTCAGACATTCGTACCACGACGAGCAATCGTTCTCGTCGCTACTTTCCACCTGTCACAATTACATCGAGTCTCACGGTACGCTTTCTTCTTCTTCCCGCTGTCTCTTTGCCCGCTTTCAGTCGCATCGTTCTTCTCGCGACAAACGTTCCAGACGACCTGCCAATGGGGAAGTATACAGGCGATAAACGGTACGCGAAAAGCGTCAAAGCGTGTACTATCGATGCATGTACGCGGCGATGCTTTTCAACTGTCCCCACGCCGCGCCATTGTTCGCCGTTTACTATTGTCCGTTCCGTAAATTCCGTAGTACTCTCCGTGTAACGCGTTCAGCTACATACGTATGCACATACACGCGCGTACCTCCGCGGCTACGTTGGAGCAAGGTGGATTTTCGGGTCTGTTCGTTTTACGTACGCGTTCACGCGCACCTAACGATCGATCGAGTCGCTAACTCGAGCTAACGAGAGCAACGAGGTCGGTCGGCCGACGTCCGTGCCTCCAGCTGTATGCCGTGGAACACCCATAATCGTTGTCGACAGAGACGTCGGAACAAACGAGACTGTCGTGTGTAACCGAGAAGTATCGTAATTATTACGAAGACGCGCCAACGACCGTAACGAGGGATGTCGTCATCTCGATCAACGACGCTTCTCCCCAACAGCTCCGCCAGCAGCAGCAGCTCGTCGGCGTTCCTTATCGTCGAAAAATCTCGAATCGAACGGAAACGCGGCACGCGAGACAAATTGCACGCGTAAATAGGAAAGACACGGTGGTTTGGACGTTGAACGATCATCGGCGTAGCTGCTGCATCTCGCGTTCGACGCATCGCGACTCTAGCTCGCCGCGTCATGCAGCGTATTCGTCGAGCACGTCGCATAGATATCCTTGAAACGCCAACGATCGCGCAACGATTCAAGAATGGCAAAGAATCCTCGAGATTCGAAAAAGCGTCGGAGAAATCGCGAAGACGCGTAAACTCGCGCGCGAAGAGAAGCTGCGTGGTCTCGCGGTAGCTGTCCAACGGCACACATCGCGTACGTATAACAGTACGCGTACTGCACGGTGTACGCGAGTAACCAAACCCGTCTACCGTAGCAGCAACGAAGACAGGTAGAATTCTAGTCGCGTTCGAAATGACCGAATATTTTTCCATACGATTGGAAACTCACGCGTGGAAGCGATGCGCACGAAGGAAAATTCCAGTCGGCCGACGATGCAGCCGTATAAATGGCTATCTGGTATCGAACGTTATCGCGTCCGTGAATCGGTGATTTGCGAGAAACACAGCTAGCGTGCCAAGAAGATAAGAACTGCGGGAACTACTATCTCGTAGAACGCGCGCGCGCGCGCACGCGATATCAATTTAGAGCTGATGATTTGTTTCCGCCTACGTAGCCTCTTAGTCATCGAGTCCCCTCCGCCCCGGCGAACGTAAACCGACGGTCGAAACGACTTTGAGATTCGTCCGCGAGAATACGCGTACACACGGGTACGTCTCCTTTTCCTCCTTCCTCGTCCTTTCGCGTCCTCCATTTTGTTCGAGTCGGAGACGCAGCGCCTCCGTCGTTATTCGTGAGGTCAATTTCGGCGCGCATACGTGCACACGTAGACGCGTAACACACGCGTTTACTACCTGTCATAAATTCTCAACACGCGTTTGCAGATTGCTCATGCTCGTAGATTATTAGTCATCGTTGCATCGATACACGCGGAAAGAAACTTCTGGTTCTCGAGTAAGCGAGAGTGGGCGAGTAGACGCGCGTACGCGTCGATACGGGAAACTGGCGAGACAACGTCCGTAATATCTTGCGGCAATTATTCTTTCTTCACGACCGACGCGGTTCGTCTCGCGCGGGATATGCGCAGCTTCCAACGATCGGCAGGAAAGATCGTGCGTCACGATCACGAGGACGAGCCAACGATTACGCGAGACGATTAAGATTTCATCGAAAAGCGCGTTCTTCTTCTCTTCGACGGACACGTTTCGCGTATCTCGAACGCGACGAACATACCCGCGGAACCGGATGAAGCGAAAGAAGAGAGTTTGGACCGAGTTTCTCCGCGGCAAAGAGAATCGTGCAAGTTTTCGAGTAGGTATAGGAGAACGACGACAGTTCCGGCGCGAAGGATGGATCGATGAAACAGGGCGCTAGAACAGGTTATCCTGGCAGAGGGGAGGCTGGAGGAGAGTGGCTGGAGGCGAGGAGCCTCGATTCCGATGCTGCCCCTCCGGCCACCGCGTGACGTCATCCATCGTTACACACCGGGTTATCGTTCAGGGTTGGCCTCGAGAGACGACTTATCGCTGTACCACCCAACTACCCTGCCGTCGTTCAAGATTATCCTATAGCAACCACCACCACCCACCCGCCACAGACTGCTCCTCTTCCTTCTCCTTCTAGTCATTTCGATATTCGCCAAACGCTACAGAAATATCGAAAGTTCCATTCGCTCTCTCTCTCTCTCTCTCCACGACGACGTTTAACGGGACCGCTTTTCGTTCCGTCGACTTATCCATTCGTTCGGCGCAAATCTATCGGGATAAGTAACTCGAGGCAGTTCCTTCTCTCTATCGTTGGCATTTTATCGATATCCTCTGCTCGATAACGAAACGGCGATCCTAGCCCGTGGTTTCGAGCGATCGGAAAATGTCGTGGAACGCGCGAGCCACTGGTAATATTCGTGCCGTTTGCGGCTCGTCGCGAAAACGCGCGAACGAAGCTTTCGAGACGAGAACGCGCACACCGGCAGTCCGGTCACGTTCGTGGAACGTGCGTTATCGTCCTCGAAAAATAATAACGCGCTTTTCAGGGCCAGCACGGTACAGCGCTATTCTTCCACGAACAGCGACATTGAAAATACGCAATTTTCGTTTTACGTTTCAAGTCGACCGAAACGCGCCAACACGCGTACACACGCGTACACGCACGCGCGCGCGCGACGACGAACCGTGCGAACGCGAGCCAGTCGTTTCGTTCGCGTGATTCCGTCAGGATTCTCCCAACCAGATAGACATCTCTTTCCTTTCTAAGCTCTTTCCTTGGTTGCGCTTAGAACAGCGTCGAGATGCTAACGGACATAAAATGGCGATTAATTAACGATCGTGCACCCCGATACCAGATGGTCGTTGTTTTTAACCGATAAACTTCTGGGCTGAACCACGTTAGCTACGTTAGCCACGAATTTATCGGAGAATTTTCCGATTTTCGTTTTTATAGTCCACCGTAACTCGTCGAGCACGAGCGTAACTTCGCGTCGACAATTATTACGTAACAGTCGTTAAAGTCGACGATGGACATGGCGCGGGTCGCGCGATCGCGATACAACGTTCGATACGTACAACGACGACACGTCGGACTCGAGATATCGTTGAAAAATGGAAATTCAAACGAGCTTCGTCTTCTCTCCCTTCCTTTTTCTCCAGTAGGCGTTTACAAAGCCTCTCCTAATCGTCGTACGTCTCGTACTCGTGTGTACTCTAGGTAAGTATACGCATGACGCAAGCGTGCGACAAGCGTTGTCTCTCGACTTGTGAGTCTCTCTCGGGCCAACCGGATATGAAACAGACTCCCAAGGGTTAAGAGGCATTAACGGACTAACAGAACCGCTAATGATTCGTTAACTCGTACCAGGATCACGGACTGTTAACCAACCATCGTAGTTTACGCGAGGCTATACATACACGCATCGGAGATGCGATTCCGATGATACGATATTTCGTAACAGCCGAAAAGAACAAGCGATAACGTCGATTAGATTTATCGGCGTCGGTGCGAGACGGCGAGTTATCGATACCACGGTGCAATCGTTAACGTGCTCGCGTTAGATAACGTTTACGGTCACGGTATGCCGATCGTGAAACGTACTTTTAACCGCGGGGTCTGGAACCGGCCGACCTACAAATCGCAAATTCGACCTTGTTCCAGCCTGTATTCTCGGCCAGTCTTCCTGTTCCGAACGAGGTTTTAGGGTCTTGACACATGACATTCGTCCGTGAGAAGAAAGGACAATTTCTATAGTATCATGTACATGCGGTACCTACGCGGTGTTGCATACTCTTTATTCCCCATTCTCGCGCTTCGTCCGTGTCGTCGAGTCGCGAAAATTCCGACAACTGGATCTTGAATTTTGGAAGCGATTTCGCTTCACGCGGATTTAGATCCGGTTACCTGCTGTACGCGTATAAATACACGCTCTGTGGCCCGATGTCTTCCCTTCGATCGCGATTCTCTACCGCGAGAGAAGCTTCCATCGGGTGGATAATTTTCTCTGGACCAACGAAAAGAAAAAGAAGAAAGGGGAAAAGGACAAGTCTCCCTCTTCTCTTCGACTTTGCTCGTTTATAATTTATAAACGACGATTATCGCGTGATGCATCCGGATACATAGTTGGGCGAGAAAAGAGCGCGCGAATAAATCGTTATTCTACCGTAGCTCAAAATTTTTCGTACCTCGAATTTCACCTGTCGGGATAAAAATGTGGAGCATCGGTTACGAGTGGAAGCAGACCTGTTTCTACCAAGGTAAAAGGTGTATAGCGTAAATGCTACGAGGTAATAACCCGCGCGGAAAGGAAGAAAAGAAAGAGATTGGAAGGAAAAAAACGATTCGCGAGATGATACCTTCCGTGACGTATTCTTTCTCATCGTCGTTATCTCTTTCCAACTCTCCGACAGACCCGTTCGCCGACGTTAGATGTTCCGTTGAAATCGATATACATTAATTTCCCCGGGACTAACGAGTGGAAGGCATCGTAAAACCGGTTTAATTTCGCGCCGATTAATTTCAAGGTGCGCGTACAGTCCGTCTAAAGTAGTTTGCTTTTGGCGTATGACCAGCGCGGTACGCGTAAAGAAGATGAAGCAAGGGAAAGATACTACTTGCCAGCTATAGCCATTGCAGTGCTATAGAATCTGGTTGGAAAATTCAATTCTATTATCATTTTCGACTAATAATCCGGGCATTCGCTATCCTAATGGACACCGCGATCTCACCGAAATACCGCGAACGAGAAAACGAAAAATGGTCAGACATGTAACCATAACCGTGACACCTAACTATGCGATACGTTCGAACGAGGTTATAGAAATTTTCATACGCGCGTACTACGTTTCACGCGTATGCCGATGTTCGAGCAGAGAGAGCAAGAGAGAGAGAGAGAGAGAGAGAGAGAGAGAGAGAGAGAGAGAGAAAAGGAAAAATCTCACGGCTGCGCAACGGTCTAATTAAACGCATAAAGATAGAATAAATGCTAAGCCGGACGGGTATAAACGATTCCCGTTCGTTCGTTCGTTCGTTCGTTCCTTCGGAGTTGCGTTTGCAAGGCGGAAATAAGAGGATATTTCTTTGGAAATCGATCGCACGGAAGATCGCGAGAACCGTTTCGACACGTTTTAGGATTGGCCGAATCTCGCGAGTATTTGGCGAGCGAAATCGGCGCGTCGTTGATATCTCGAGCGAAGCGAGATTCCTGCAAGTCGGGACCAACGGAAAAGAGTTTACAGAGAGAAAGAGAAACCAAGTGTCGAGAGAAAGGTGAAGAACGAGGGGCTAAGGAGACCGGACGATAGGTCGATGAACTGGCTAGCCCTGGGCCTCACTGCCTTCTTCTGCTCCTCTTTTTTTCTTTTCCTTCTCTCTGTCTCTCTCTCTCTCTCTCGTCTTTTCTTTTACTCTTTTCCCTCGTATTTCTTCTTCGTAAATGTACGCGTCGCATTTTGGCACACGGTCGACGAAAGAGAGACGGTCTACGCTCGGATGGTTGACGATCGTCGCGGTGAAAGAAAATGGAAATGGAAGAAAATTCGGAAACGGTGCGGGGACACGGATAAACGGTTAATAACGGGTGACCGATTGTTAACCGTTGCGGGAAACACAGTTGGGCAAAACGGAGCGCGCTGATTTCTCCCCGCTCGTAACTTTCAATGTCGTGGGTGAACTGGCTTCGCGAGTTTCGGTTGCTCATAGTCCGAACGGATATCCGGAAAATTGCGCGGTTGTTACTCTCGCCAAGTTCCAGATTCTCGATTTCTCCGACCGCGCGAGATTCCTTCGCCGAACAACGTGGACGAGCACCAGCCATCCTGTTACGCGTATACGCACGCACGTACCTACGCGTACGAGCACTCTACTAGCCGCGACGTTATCCTTCGGTACGCCTTTCAAACGCGCGGCTGTACGCCGTGCTTCCTCCTTGCCTCTTCGCGTTTCCCGTACTCACCGTTCTTGCTCCTTTATTTTCGCTATTGAAAAGCTGCGTCGTTATTTTTCTCGCCGTTCGGTCACGATCTTATCTCACCGAGTGCGTTACTTTTCGAAAAAGTAAATGGATAAAACGACGGAAAACGGAGCGATGAAACGTTGATGAGAGGTGGATTCCGCGTTGCTTCTGTCCCCTGGAAATTTTTACTTCCAGTCGAGTATCGACGTTGCACCAACTATCCGACAACGACCACGATCGCGTTAACTCGAGTTAAAACATCGTCGAGGCGACGGAATTTCTTAGGTGGCTCGATAAGGTAATCGTCACGCGCTCACGCGCACACGCGCAGCCTTGCTCACGATTCGAGATAAGATCCAAAGGAAATTCGGACCTTGCCGGATATTGGAGAGGAAAAGGCGGGAAGAACGCGCGTGTTCGAGGAATGCACACAAAGTCCCTAACGTAACGAAATGGAGCAAGACGAAGAACGGTGTTTGCTCCGTTACGAAACCAAAGTGGGTTATCGAATTCGAAAGAAATTGGATGCCATTGCATCTGGTTTACGAAATCCGTAAACTTGACGTACCGATGCAATTTTTAGTGCGAGCGTGGTCGACAACCGTGTCTCGATTAATTCGACGATTACGCGAGCTTGCGAATCCGTGTTACTTCTCCGTTCTACGATTAGGACGGTGCAACCTTTACCGTACTACCGCTTTCTTCCGTTTCGTAATTACCATCTTCGCTCGAGTTTACTTCGCCGCGTCTAGATATCGATCGTAGCAATTGCGCGAAAATTAATTATTGTAACGGAATGGCGTGCAACGCGCAGCAGACACTGATCGATTTAACGTGCACGCAACACACGTTCGAACGCGAGTAGGAGAAACAACGCGCGCGGTTCGCGAGAACCGACAGTACGGATCGCAATCGCGCGTTTTCCCTTTTGCCTTCGTTCCCGCGTTCTGATTTCGGTAGCAAGTTTTATCTAGTCTCGATAGTGTACCAGAGCCGGTGTCGTCGTGGTCGACGTCGTGGTCGTCGCAGTGCTCGTATTTTTCTCCACAGCGTAAACACCGTGCCGGGAAGGATCGACGTGGGAAATATGCTACGTTTTTCTTACGTTAAAAAATCCTGTCTGAGAGAGGAAGAGATGGGAAGGGAGAGAACGAGAGAGGGAGTGTAAAGCGAGGAGGGAAGAAGAAGGTTACGGGATTTCGTAGAGCGCGAGTGAGCAAACGCAAACTACGGATCCTGTGCATTCAACTTTGCGACTCCTGCGCAACGCAACGAATATTTACGGTTAACGAACGCTTTGTTGCCCTCGTTAGCGGAAGCTGAGCAAAGACAGACTCGCATCCCTTAACGAGTTCAACGAGCCGAATGTCTTTGCTTCCGGGATAAGGGAATATCGAGGCAAAAGGTTGGAATTAACATCGAGGAAAGCGTAGTAACCGCACAGGTGATTACCAGATGCAGCGGCGAAACGATGGTCTTGTTCGAATTTCGACAACCACTGGGATAGAATACGCTCGTCGACTACGAAACGACGAATCGGTCTACGTTCGATATTTAACGCGTAACGCGATAATACGAATGCGCATCGCGAATCCACGCGTAACGTAGAATAACGTATACGCATACGTAAACGTACGAAACGAAGATCGGACACCACACACTGTTCGCTTCCTTTTCGAGCCAGCGACGACGCGACGCCTGTTCCTTCGCAAAGTTCAAAGCGCCATCGATGCGTCCGATGCGGCAAACGTCGCGGCTATGATGGCAGCGGCAAAAACCAACATACGGCGGCACAGTGCCAATTCCATTGGCACAACCTCCAATTTTCAAGGTTACTCGCTCTCGATTTCCGACCATATCGCAACCACTCGACCACGTCTCCAAACAGTCTGCAAACGGTCTCCAAACCATCTCGAAACGTTCGCCAAACTTCCCGCCAAATATAAAATAGCCAAGTAGCGATTTACGCGTGTCGAACAAGCCAGAGAGATACTCACGTTATCGTGCACGAAAATCCAGGAAAGGCTCGGTCTAGAAATCCTGCCTGGCGTTTGGGAACGAACGCGGAAAAAATTTAAATTCGTCGGTCGTACATGACAACCGAGCTCGATAAACCGATCAACGCGCGCCAGCCGATCCTTGACAACCTGACAGAAGCAATTCGTTCGATTTCCTTCTTCACTCGTACAGATTTCTTCCTCTCCCACTCTTTTTTCTCTCTTCGTCTTTCTTCTTCGATTTCACCACGCGTGGTAACAAGAGGAACGATATGGACAGGACAAAGAATAGTGACACGGAGTAACGTAGAAACGCTTGTATCGGCAATTTTGAAAGAAAAACACGAAAGCGACGGGAATGGTGACGAAACGACACTCGCGAATGGTGACGGTAGACTGAGCTTCCCCGCGCGAGCCGTGGGGACGCTCGGCGCAGCTCCGACGAATCGAGTTGCTCGACAGTGCGCGTACCCTTGCGAGTAACGCCAGAATTCACAAGGAACGAACGAACGAACGAACGAACGGATGGACGGGCGAGCGAGCGAGCGAGCGTGCGAGCAAGCAAGCGAGGAGGCGCACGAAGCGCGAGCACGTTCACGAGCATGCCCGAATTCGTATCGCGTACCACTGCGCGCGCGAGCAAACGCACTTACACGTACACGCATCGTTGTGCAGCTCGTCAGCGGAGCCAGTTCACGCCTTCCTAATTACCTCCATCTCTCCACCATTCTTCTCTTATTTTCCTTTTATCCTACGTTCCTCCATTTCTACTCCTCTCTCGTTCGGCTTTTTCTTTCATTCGTCGGTCTCACTCGTCACTCACTGTTCGTTCAACCATCACCGATTACGCGCCATTTTCGCTACACTTACGCCTTTCTTCCCTTCTCCTCCCGTCGCGTCTTTTCAACAGGATTCTCACACCCTCTCCGATCGTATAATTAAAAATGTCTACTTAACGCGCACACACTGGACAGTTGCCATTTTACGTATTCGAATGATTTGAATTTTTCGTGCGATACGTTTAATATCGGATCGTTTGCCGGATACATGATTGTGTTTCGTATTCGGAACATGTTATAACGCGAAAAAGATGCAGAAAGATAACGGTTACAACAACGCACGGTTGAAGATTTCTCGCTTCGTCTTCGATATTGCTTCGTTATTCGATTTATATCTTTTCGGTTACAGAACGAAAACAAATCGAAATTAGATAACGTTGCAATCACGATGTTTAATGAGATTTCTTCGATACGTCAAACGACCACTTTCCAGTCATTCCCGCGCGAGAAATATTTTCGTTAAAAGGTTTGAACGTAACGGATAACGACTGGAACGTATCGAATGCAACGAGTTCGTTGCTCTTACACGTACGACCCCCCTCGCTCTTTATGGTTGCTCGTTAAACAACTAATTAACTATTCTCGATATACTTTCGTCTACGATTAATTTCGTTTCCAACGTAAAGTGCAATGTCCTGATACGTGACTATCACACGTATCTACAACATGTACCATCACTTTATCGGATGCAACCATCACAAAACGAATCAACTTTCCCACGACAGTTTCGCCAGCGTCTCCACTAATTTTGACAATTTCTGCTCTATCTAACAATGAACAATCTTTTATTTCACAATTAGATAAACATAAATACAATAATTTGGGATTCTAACTGTAATTGCAAGTGTTATTCGTAAAACTCTCATCGAATGTATCAAGTCTTGTATGTGAAGCTAAATATTTCGATTAAATATCGTTATTTTTCAAGGGTAAACAAAGAATTTGTTATAATTCAGGGCATTTCGGATCCTCGAAAAAATTCATTTCACAACGCATAAATTCACAAGTCTATTTCGTAAAAAGTACGATTATTGCCATGGACAAAATCATAGATGAAAAAACAATATTTGACGCTCCATTGTTACATTCATCGGTGTCACAGAGTTTACATCCTTCTTTATTTTCGCAGAATTTCGCGCTTTCCGTACAACCACGTTCCGTGACTTCTGATCCATTTACCGCTGCAAAAAATTAAAATTGTCGTACATAATTCACGATTTCTACATATTTCCAATGAATTGTTCACAAAGAAAAAGAAAAACAAAAATATTATATAAAATAATGTCTCACTCTTAATAATGCTATAACACCGACTCTCCTCAGCGTATGTGTCGACCTGATATCCTTGTAACAAAGGGTTGATCATACTCCTACGCTTTCTATTAACATTTTCATTACTCGGTGATTGATCTGAAACAAATTCGATATTATCGATATTATAAATTCGATATACAACGGAGATAATTTGAAATTTAATCCATAGAATCCTACTTATGAATATTTTTTTCTACTAACTCCCTGCTAAATTGCTCGAAATAGAAGATTCACTACACCTTAGTAGTAAATAAAAATTTGATTAAAGAAACAATGCATATGAATCCATATGTGAGTATTTACATACCGCTTGACGCATCACTTTCCCCTTTTCCCGGAGGACTTAACGAAAATGATGACGAGACTGTCGACGAAGCTGTTGCCGGGCTTTCCGAAGATGTTGACGAGACTATCGACGAAGCTGTTGCCGGGCTTTCCGAAGATGTTGACGAGCCTGTCGACGAAGCTGTTGCCGGGCTTCCCGAAGATGTTGACGAGCTTACCGAAGTGCTGGAGCTGGCCGGTTTTGGAGTTGTTATAATTTGACACTCCTTCAGCACAACATTTTCTGACAGCTTACAATCATTTTGAGCAGGATTACATTCAAAACACTTCAACGCCCTTCCTAATTCTAAAATAGGTATATATGATTTTCACAGTTAAAAATAAATGATTTATTAAATATCCTATAGAACTCTATGATACTGATATCTTACCCGGCTGTATAGTAATGAGTCCGATGGCGAACACAATTACCGAAAATTGCATCTTCATGTTTCCTGATTTTACTATTCGATTTCACTATTTCGATTCACGTTGATACTACTAGTGTTCATGCGCGAATATTATGAAGCACAGAGATACAGGTTATTTATAAGCTTGTTGCGAGAAATTTTACCCTTATCTGAATAGATATCTCCAATCGATATCACTACATTGACGACATGCGATTAACTTGCGCGAAAAAATCAAGTATCACTAATTCGTTGTTTCCCTATACGTGTTTCTGTCTGTGTGTCGTATCGATCTATCTTCGAATTATCTTATTTGAGAAGAGAAAAGTTTACTTATCAGGGGAATATTTTTGCTGATAAATCAGTTTACGATTTCACATATAATACGAATTTTATAAAACTTTATCATTGTAATTCAAGTTAAACCACAATTTAAACAAATAAAATTAAGATTATTTCTAGGAATGTATTCAATTTATAAATTCAATATAGTAGAAGTAATGTAGAATGTAGGGTAAAACGAGGTCCTACTGACTTATGATAAGGACATCGATATGCAGTCAACGCGTGATGTTGGGTTCGAGAGTTAATTTCCTAATAACACATCACTTAACAAACTCGGAGATCATGTTCATTTCTTTACCAGACAGTCTTAAAAATTTCCAACATAAAAGTTACTTGGAGGGTTCAGTTTACTACTCGATACTGTTTCTCTACCAAGATTTTAAGAATCTCATAGGATAACTAACTACAGCTATATTTTCTGTAATTCTAGGAAGATGTTTTGTCATTTCGTTCGATTTTTATTCCACGTTACAATGTGAACATGCAACGTTTTAGACATACTCTCGTGTGCGGCAAATTCGGTTGCTTTAATACGTTCTTGATATCACTCTATCATAACATAGCTAAGTAATTGTCTTTTAATCTCTATTCTTTTTTTTTAATTATTAGAAGAATTATCGATAATTGAATTAAATATAGTTTCATGTAATATATTATACGTTTATAAATAATTGCGACAAGTTGCATAAACAAAGTAAGTCATACACGAGTTGCAAATATTAGCGTAAATTAGCATTTGTTAAAATTTATTGAAACAGCTTGTTCGATTAGTATCGAGTATCTGGGGGTTAAACCAGGTGAGGCGATACTTTCCGAAACCCCTAACTTCCTTTAAATAATATAATTTTTTTACTTGAATATTGCCATAGTTTCGTTATCTAAAATACAATCGAGTTTTCCAGTCATGTTCAAAGTCATTTTTTGTTCAATTTTTTGATAACGAAAGGAATATCTCTCCTTTCCCCTACATAAGTACATACCTATACAAGGTGTCCCAGGGTTTTTCCGACTAAGAAAACGAAAAAACAATGTTTAGAATCTATTAAAGTTAGTTACATATGTTGCCGTTTCTAATACGATTAAAATTTTACGTGGTAAAATAAAATTGATCATCCTTGAGCTTTGGTATCTAATCGTCTTAAAATTTTTTACTGTTTTATCTGTTTCGATATCGAACTTACGAAATAACGGCATAAATGCCTATATTCTTCTATATGATTTAACCATTACTTTACTTATTTCGCATATTTTGCCAATGCAACGTTACTTATACAATTACGTATTTTAGTATGCAAATAGTTTGGAGATGAAACTAATATCGTAGTTACGTTCATATAGAAGGAAATAAAGGCTTACACATGGCACAGGCCGTTTTTTCGAAAGTTCGTAGAAAGTGAGAAGACGATTAAGTAGCAATACCCCAGAATGATTGACCATATTTTACCATGCTCATTTATTTAATTGGACCAATACCGAATTGAACGAGCGCGTTTCGGTTATGATTGAACGACGAAGAAAATCATCGAAACAGGGACGTAACAATCTAAAAATTTCATTGCAACGAGTCATCTTTCCTTCTTTCATTTAACTTAGTAAGCCATTAGGAATAAGTCGAGATAATCATCTTAGAACTTATAAAACCAGACTGATAAGTCATATCTTGTTATAGATATCGACAAATGACAACAGCAACTATTGTATTAGTCGTCTAATTTCAATTTCGCTACGAGTATGTCAAGTTTCATATAAATTTCATAAGAATTAAACCAAATTCGATTTAACATCCTCGAAATGAACGAAATAAACGAAATAAACGGCAGTTTGACTACCTCACTTCGAATGTCGTTATTTGCTACGATAAACGTTAAACATTCTTTTCTTTGGTTATATTAAATAAATTAGTAAATAAATAAATAAATTTACTAAGCAGATCGAGTCGTATGCGTTCTATTTTTTATTTATCTCTTCTATTTATAGTTTGAATATCAGCGAATTTTGATTATTCGCATTTGTACAATTCTACTTGGTTCGTTGTGTGACAACTATCAATAAGCAAAAACTATGGTCATATAAGGACTATGGTTGGTTAATGCTAATAATAAGGCACAAACATCATATCCCTTTTCGCGAAGTTAAGTAACTTAACAGGGGATAAAGTCATAGTCAGCTATCGATATCTATAATGAAATATCTTTTTATCAGCATTGTTTCGAAGACTCTATCGTAGTGCATCACGATTGTCTTACCTTTTTCACACTTTTCTTCATATCAGATATTTTATGTCGAATTAGGTTCTGTTGCTTCCTGGATGGTCTTGCCACGTAAGCCTTCCCAGTTAAGGAATCTCAGATGATATCTTATCGACTCAGCCCAGAGAAAAATTATGTTCCGAAGAAGAAAAGATAACTCGTCGCAGTGACGTTCTTCGATCTTTACAACTTAACTTAATTACAACGTCTTTGACGTACGATAATAACGGAAAAAATTTTGTTCAATTGATACGAGAAACGAGTACGAAAAAATACACGTAACAGAATAAAATGGATCATCCTTGAACATCGGTATCTAATCGTTTCTTTCGCTCTTTTATCTGTTCAAATATTATCGCACTTTCGAAATAACGACATAAGAGCCTGTATTCTTCTAAATCGTTTAACTATTAATAAACGGAACGCTAAAGTTTTCTAAACAATGCTAAAGTAAAGTGTAAATGTTTAATCAAACATGTCTTACGTGTACATAGATATTTTTTTAGATGGCGTATAAGGAAACAAATTCAACGACCTTTTCAGCTATATTGTTACAATTGCTCGATTTGTAAAAGTTTATTCTCGTAAATGTTAATCGTTTACGTTATTAGAAGCAACAAGACAAGCAAATGATCGTTTAATTTCTTTTTACCTATTCTTCGACCTTTCAACTCTTCTATATCTCGAACTCGTTAATATTCACTGTCGTAAACGTTAAAGTTCCTTTATCTTATTCAATTAAACGATGGACTAGGTTGAGTCATACGGGTCGTATTTTTTTTATTAACATCCTGTATCGGTGAGTTTTGATTATTTTCTACAATTCTGTTTCCTGCATCCCGAGTCGCCCAATGCATACATGTACAATTACACGAATGTACATGGCCTGGCGCGGATAATTTCTAGCCTGGTATTTTCAATTTTCTTGATTATCACGGACCTGCCCTTATCACTGACAGTCATCGGATCATAAAATTGCTAAACCGGAATGTCGCGTACGGTGTTTTATGTACAGGGTGTAGATAATCGCAAATAATAACTTTGAATAATCGATCGTTCTAAACCGAATAATAAATCGAATTTGGTCGGTTACTGAAAATAACTGACCGATATTTCTTTGATCTTAATGCGCGATCTTAATGTTCCTTCTTTTGCGGTTTTAGCGAACGATATAAAAATAGCTTTGTCGCTTCGTTGATAATTTTAACGATTTTCTTCCAATATAAATAGCAGAGTGAAGCGTTTTCGACTAACAGAAAAGTTACCACGAGAAACAGTAACACGCAGTAGAATCAAGTTGAATAATACCGAAAACATGAAATTCTTACTCTACGTCGCAGTAATGTTTTTGGTCGGGTTTATCTCTTTGTGCAACGCGGAACCCGAACCCGAACCTGAGCCTATGGCAGAGGCGGTAAGTCCAACTATTATACATTGCTCTTGTACTTATTTGATTATCCGTCTTACCGATCTTTCGTCTAAATACCGCTGTCGAGATACGACAGCAATCTCGATCTCGGAATCGTTAAAAATCTCAGGATCAAAATCGCCCTAACTCACCTAAACGTGATTCGTCACGATGAACAAAATTTTACGAGACTGTACCTAGTAATTTTACCTACTTAGCTCAAAGCTAAAGGTTCGATTTTCATTTCAGGATCCAGAAGCGGGAATTCTTTCGGTATTCAAGAAACTGTTGCCACATGTTTTAAAATTGGGATGAATAATCGACGTTTAAACTGCAAATCTATGTAATTAGAATTATGCTGAAACTGATCGTATAAATATTTCGCTTCCTATCTCAATACTCGAAACGTTTCATTTTCCTTCAACGATTCCTATTTCCTCTTCCCCTTTTTCTTACCGCGATTCAAACGATATACCTAGTCGATATAAGTGCTAATTCCGAGATTAGTCACGATTAGCAATGATTAGTGTACGTAGAATACCGTGTAGATTAATCTCAACTTTATCTTCCATACCTCGTCGACTCGTTTACTTCGTCATTCGCGTGGTATACGTGAAAACACGATTCGCGCGATATAAAATCTGTCATAACGTGGATTACGCGAAAGAAGGTACGTTCATGATCAAGTTCAGGGTCAACTGGGAGATTCAATCTCCCATTAAAATTGCAAAACAAGATTCCGCGAGTATTCCCTCTCCGTCTTGGTCTTCCGACTTTCACTCGAGGTCTATAGCAGCATCATATCGAAGCATCGTTCTCCGTTCAACGTGAAAATTCATCCGCCGCGAAATTCTAACGCGAAGTCTTTCGAGAACGATCGATCGCGTAGATAGAAGATATCAATACCGATCGAATGTCTCCGTTAAGGAAATCTTTGTTATCGCCAAGGAGGTGTTAACGTTATCGGAAAACGTATGTGGAAAATTTGATTTCGCGATACGTGTTTACCGCGTCTCGTCTCGAGCCGAAACAGCTTCGACGTATTACCTATACATACGTAAGTACTTGCTTACGTACAACGAGCGAATAAGGACTCGAAAAGAGGCCAAAGCTGACAAGTTTGCATTCACGATTCCGCAGAGGAAGAGGTAGTTCACTCCTGGCCAAGTTCAGGGCTAACCAGTCGTACCGACCCAGCTGTATATACGTATACATAAGTAGGTGCTTTTCTACCGAGCAACAAGCACGGGCGCCACAAAATCACCTCCATTCTAGCCTTCATTCTCTCCGTATTCGCGAAACAAAAGTATCATAAACGCCGTATTTCGACTTAACCTCTTTCCATCTGTTTTTCGCTTTACTTGTCTCCTTTGCATCCTCGCGTTCCAATCACGAATTTTCCTTATTTCCTTACCAGTATCTTTCCCTTTGACTTTCCTCCGTGCTTTTCCGACGCTTTCTATACCGAGTGACGGACGTGTCCGTGGGCCAACGAAGAAGACACAGCGAAGATTGACAAAAACGTGCATCTTTGCGTACGCGAACAGACGAATTGGTTGATACGCGACGGAGTAGAGGACGGAAAGCGGCAAAGAGCGAGCAAGGATAAATATACATTTTTTCGAGTTTGCATCTCCAGTTCTTGCTTTTCTTCGTTTCCTCATTTCGAACGCGTAAAATACATACGTACACGCGTTTGAACCTCGAGTTAGGAATATTTCGCTACTTTTCGCCGGACAATCGAAAAAGCAAGCGTGTTCGTTAGCGTTGTTCCCTCCACCATGGTTCCAGAAGGTTCCAGACTCGGAGGGATTCGCATACATACTAGGCAACGTTCTTTTCGTCCGTTCGTCTTGTCCTTCTCAGCTCCCTGAGAAGGGATGTCTGTCTAGCTTTTCGCGTTGCGTTCCCGCACAGCCTGAACAGCTTCAGACTCTCCTCCTCTCTCTCTTTCTCTCTCCACCGTCTACATCCTGGAATGCGGTTGTTCCACTCTACACTGATACTATACACCGGCTCCATTACGTGCAGCCGAGTCGCGTACGCAACAATGGCTATGATGTAAGGAATACAATTCGGTGAAAAGGGACTACTCGTTGTTCGAATTCTTTTCGTTTAATCATCGTGTTTGATTCGTATTGAAAACATTTCTTGCAAATTTTACGTTCGAAAGGTCGGTCGACGTCACGGAAGAAGACTGCTCCGAACTGGTCGTTTGTTGAATTCGTCTTCGATGTCACGAAGATCCGGTGGATCCGCGAATCCGCTGTCCTCGTAGCGGGCGCATCGCGAGCTTGGCGATCTAGGAGGATGCATCGTATGTATGCTGAAACGTGCGTAAGAATTTCGGGTATTAGCGTAACACGCGCGTAATATACCTTTTACAGTGGAAATACGAACATTTTACCTGGTACATCTAGAAGGACTGATATCCAATGGCTCGTCGTATCTGCGCGAGAGCATGGTAAAGTCGCGATGCGCTGCTACCATTTTTTGCAATCGCGAAATTATTTCGTAATCGGGGGTACAGATCGGTTCCGATAACAATTTCACCACGGAAAGACGGAAGCTTTGCAACTGAAACAGAAAATGGACGATTTAACGGTAACAGCGACGCAGCCGGATAAAACGGATAAACGATCGTAGACTTTGGTACTTGGGATTCCCTTTTCGTGACGTCGGAAAGATTTTGCTTGACCTGCGCTAGTTCGTCTCTGAGTAATTGCAGCGAATGATCGCTGATGGATCTCTCTTGTTCGGCAGTTTCCGTCGTACTTCTCATTTGCTCCTTCAACATGGTCAATTTTCTGTTGCAACGAGTTCTCAGCATCTCGCTCTCGACCAAACGTTTCTGAAGCTCTTCTATCTTCCGACTACGCTCCAAAGCGGCAATCTATAGTTTCGAACAATCGATTCTCGTTCAGCGAATCGCCATTGTTCGATTTGGTAAAGAAGAAAGAGGCAAACGACTCGCGTATAATTCGCCAATAAGATCTCGACGTTGGCTTACTTTGTAATCCGCTGCTTCCGTGAGTTGCGCGCTCAACTCCCGATTTCTGGACCTCTCCTCCGAAAGTAGAACCTGCAAACGATCGATTTGTTTCGACAGCTTTCTCGCTCTTGAAACAAACGATCGTGAACGGTGAAAATCAGACGTATTCAGGGTAAGTTTGCAAATTCGATACGTACCGAAGATTCGCATCGTCTCTTTCGCTTTGTAGGAACGATTTCGTTTTAACGTTTTCTTCTTGAAGCGACAGTTTTCTACGCAGTAGGTCCAAATGAAGATCTCTGCGCTGCAATTGTTCCCGAAGCGTCCTTACGCGACGCTGCAGCTGATATACCACCGAAGTCTATGGAAAAGAAAAAGAGAGAGGGAGGGGAAAGAGCCGAGGAAAATGTCTATCCGCCGCGCGATGCGTTTGCGTGTGGACGTATGAATGCAAGGAGAGTAGAATGTGGTCGCGATTAGAAAAGCTGTGAAGCGTCGGGGTCCAACGCGGGAAATCGATTTTACGAGATAGCCCCAGAGACTCGAGAATCACCCTCTAGTCGGCCAAAATGGCTTACTTCTTTCATAGAAGGAAGCTCGTGGAAGGATCGCTCGTGCCGAATCCTCGGTAAGATGGTGCAGTTGGACCGCGAGTACTGCGCGAGCGCGGAAACCAACGCAACGTTCGCGGCGCAAAGAAACACAGAACAAACGAGACAAGAAATTAGCAATTTATCCCGGAAAAAGAACCAGCGGAATCGCTTTTCGGCATATTTTTTACCTTGTCCGCCAGTTTGTCCGTTTCCAATCTGGCGAGTTGTTCAGCTCGCACTACGAGCGATTCCGTTTGTAAATCGAGCCCCATTTCCTCGGAAATCTCGTCCATTTGCATCGCTTTCCCTAACCGTTCCAAAAACCTAACAAACTAGAAAAATTCGACACGTTGAGAAGAAGAAAATGTCCGTTACGAACGATTGATAGAGAGCCCTAGGGTCTATCGATATTACCGTTTGCTTGTCCCTGCGCAGAGATTCTTTCGACAGCTCGCAATCGGTCAACTCGCTCTCCAATTTCCGAACTTTGCTTTCCATGTCGGATCGTTCGTCCTCGAGGTTTCGAATTTTCCCAACCGTCGACTCGATCAATTCGCTCTGTCGATTCGCCGATTCTGTTATCGCGTTTACTTTGTCTCGCAGATTTTGAATGGTCTGAGAAAGAAAAAGGATTTTCAGGAGATTACGAATTTCTGCTTTCCACTCGACGCTTGCGTACAACGCGATGCGTTATCGAACGACAGGCGAGGAAAAAACGAATGAGAAATACAAGAGCCTGATCTTTGTTCTCGGCCAAGATCTCCCTAATGCGGTCCTTAATCGCGTTCTCGTGAGACTCGATGTATCTGTTCGGGCCGCTGACAAGCATCGCCAAGGATTCCAAAAAGTGTCGTAGCTCGGTTTGCACGCGCTGACACTTTTCTTCCCGCTGCTTCAAATCTTCTGCGAATGGGAAAAGAAGAAGAAGAAGAAGAAGAAGAAGAAGAAGAAAAGGCAAGAAGAATTACCGATAAAGCGAAAAAATATATTCGCCAAACGGTTCACCTCGTAATTGTCCAATTAACGCTTCTTGATTCGATATATTTCCCGTCGCGCTACTTATGCTTCTGTTCGCGTTTACCAACTTATCCCTCAGTCCGTTCAGCTCTCTTTCCGCAACTCTGTATCGCATCTCGAGACATTCCTTGTCCTAACAAACGGACCATCAATCGATCGATCGATTTTTCGTCGCGTTGAATTTTTGCCAACGCACAAATACCTGTTTCAAACGATCCAAATCGAGCAACTGCGAAGACACTTGCCGTTGAAGTTGCTCCTTTTCCGCCACGGTACGGTCCAAAGCATCCCGACAACTTCGAAAGTCCACCTCCACGGTAGTCAACTGTGCCTCGACGTTCGTATTCTTTGCGCGAAGACGATTCGCTTCTTGAACCAATTCCTCCACTTTGTGGATCACCACTTCGGGACTAGGATGGACGGTTTCGCGATACTCCACGCTCAACGCGTTCGCCAATTTTCGTGCAAAGTCCTTTACAGAACGGGACGTCGAAGCTTTAAAATAGCATGGACGAAATGGAAGCACCGAGTCGAATCATCTTGAACCAAGTTTATGAGGCTAAACCTGAAAATTCGATCGTGCCCGTTCCTTCGATTCCATCTCTTCCGACATGGTCTGCTCGAACTGACGTATCTTCTTCTCGTATTCGCGAATTTTCTCTTGATGATACTTGGAATCTCGTTGCAAACCCTGCAACGCGATCTCGTTCCTTCCTTGAGTGGCGTAAAGATTTTTTTCCCGTTCCTCTAATTCCTAGACCGATCGTTCCATGTGAAAAGAGGAAACGAGAAAATAAATGCTACGTGCTCGAGAATGATCTAATCGGTATAAAATATTTTTTCGCTTGGTAAGACAAATAGCCAAAGAAGACGAATCAATGCACCTGTATGCGTTTTTTCAAACTCAAAATCACGGCATTCTGCCTGGCTGCTTGTTCGCGGAGTAGATCGGTCTCTACCTGCATCTCTATCACTCGTTGATCCCGCGATCTTACGAGGTTCTTCGTCTCTTGAAGCTGGACCAAGATAGCACGCTTTATTCCAACTACCGCGTGACTAATTGTAAAGCAATTATTATAATCTATTTACCTCGGACATCAATCTATCGCGCTTATACTCGAGAGCCGCCAGCTCGCTCCTTAACGTAGTCGTTAGATCGTGAGTCATAGCTTCTTCCTCGATAATCTGCGGTAAGAAATTCGAATTTTAGCTAACACGTTATTTCTATCATCTTTACGATTTGCGTTAGCGAGAATAGTAGGGGTAAATCGATGTATCGAAGCAAACAGCGTGCAAGTATATCTTACCAGACGTCGTTACGTATTACGTTAACGAATTCATAGCGCATTTTGCCCTGTCTGGACAATCGTGTTTACTAATGCCTCGGTGTTGGAATGATCGGTATTCAATTCTTGTCATTCCACCTACTCGTATTGACTAATGCGATTACTTCGAGCAACCAAAAATATTCGATACGATGACGATAACGACAACGCGATGCTATCTCTCCGTATCTTTGCCATCGGATATCTTCCTCGATATTTTGCTCGATGTTTTTCTCGATATGTACGATGACTAACTAAAAAGACGCGAACCAGAAATGCTATTCCCTGTAACTTACTCGCTCAACGGCGTCCGTAACATTTGTTCATAAGCGTTTAACGTGCCGAGTTTGAACGGTAAAATATTTATCCCATGTGGCCATTACGGTCTTTGAATAACGATTAAAAACTGATTTTACACATCGCGGGTACGAACACGGAAGAGGCCGAAAAGAGTCGAGAACGAGCGAGGGTAAGCGAGGGTAAACGAAGGTAGACGAGGAATATACTGGTAAAGGTATACGGCGACAGGTGGAATCGATTATTCGCAACGCTATGGCAACCGGGGCCAACCCTTGCCTCGCGTATACCAGTCGATATGTTTGACCAACGGATCAGCGCGAATAGCATTGCGTATCTACATAACCTAGGCATATCGAACGGTACGCGAATTTAACTCGTCGCGTATTTACGTAAGACTCGTCACCGCGATCAAACAAGAAATCAAATTTAATCGTGACGAGAAAGGGCAATCGAAAATCACCGCATGAACGAAACTCTCTTCTCGTTTAGATCGTACGCGCGATTATCTTCGCGAATCGCTGGATCGCGCAACTCGAAAATGACTGAAAATGAACGAACGGAAATGAAAGGAAACGAAAGAGGTATCATCGCGTTTCGCTCGCGTGAATAATGGTAACCAGGGCAAACGAATTCGAGGAACTTGCACATTTTCTCGTAGAGATCCTTTCGTAGCACGAAATTCGTGCACGTCCGTGTACGATCGGGCTGACATATCGACACTTCAACGTCGACAAAAACGAGAAATATCAGTGAGAAAGCTCGTGCATCGTACGAAACGTAACGTGTACACGTATAGGCTACTGAATTTTGCCGACAATCGTTTAACGTGTATGCGTATAATGCATATGTGCGGATAAACGATGCGATTTAAGCTCTGCGAAGCACTTGATCTGACGGAAACGAGGAAGACCTTTCGAGGCGACGATATACAAAGCGTTTCGAAAATCTGAAGGTCCTCTTCGGTCGTCTCCTTTCCTTCTCTTCCCGCCTCCCTGCTTTCCTTCGTCTCTCTCCTTTCTTCCTCGCTCGACATCTTCACTCCAACTATCCGATCCTCCTTTCACCTTCCACACTATGCACCTGCGAGTTTGTTCCGCGTCGCGCGACGGCTTAAAAAAGATTTCCTTTCTTCATCGACATCCCTTATTAGAAATCCCTTCGAGTAGCAAGTCTGCCTCCGAACGCAACGCAACGCAACGTTCGAGAACGTAAAAGCGTTTCTAACGAAGACGAAACGCGTCGATGCGCAACGAACCGTCGGCCTAGCATCCCCTCGCGCGCCAACCTCGGGATAATCGAATTTCATCGATCCATGCAAATCACGCTCCTGGCCTTTCGCAACTTTCTCCAAATTTCTACTAATTCTTCCAAATCGTAATTCTACTCGCAACTCTCCCTCTCCCTATCCCTCTCTCTCCTTCTCCTACTCTTGCATTTACATTGCAGTTTCATTCGATTCTCACGTTGGAGCAAATTTTAGGAATATGCAATTATAAATTAATTCCTTCGCGTACTCTTTTTTCGGAATAATCAAAACGATAGCTTGACAACGTAGTTTGCTGCAACGCGCCAACATTCGTTTCAAGCTAATTGTAAGATCAACTGTCCAAATTTTACGACTATTTCAACGTCATCGTTGTCATATCCAGACACGTGACTTCATTTTATCACGCTCGATATATCACTTGTAATTTTACAAACAGAAGAAGACTATTTCTAACGTGGCACCACGAATAACATTTGCACTCGATCGCGTCGTGAATCTTAACGATAAATGAAATGTTTAAACATCAAAGATAAATATCGCAGTTACTCCAAGTTTTAACGATTTATCCTTGTCGATTAAATTTTACTAACAATTACTCACGATTCGGCTATTAAAACCGAACGAAAAACGTGTAAAGTTTATACGGCGACATTTATAGATATAATAAGTTTGTATCGTGACAATAAATACGGTTAACGTTCGTTTTATTCCACCGATACGGCCAGTCTTTTCACTGCGTAATTTATTTTAACGTTCACGTTCGACTATATATATATATATATATATATATATAAAGTGCAAATGTGTCCATAACAGTACGACGACAAAGAAGAAACATGAAGCTTGCAAAGTTATTGCTCGGTAAAGTAGTTACCCTTATATTCGTATTTACTTACTTCACATCGGCAATGGCTAACCCTGTATCGAAACGAGAAATCATGCCGGTACGTTGTATGCTATAATGTAGCTCCGATGCTATTTCCTAATTAAATAATGCATTTTTTACAGAGCCTCAGAATTAGCCCACAAGCCATAAAATCTCTTTTAGGCAAGTGAAGATCGAAGCCGGAATTATAAAATTATTTATTATGTACAATCGATGTTGATCTAGCAAATGCAAAGTATCGTATATCAATAAATATATTCCTGCATTGAAATGTTTAAACTGTGATGTTTATTAGACAGAGAGGAGAGAGAAGAAAGGAAAAAAAGCTCAAGTTAACTGATATAACAAAGTACGAATGCCATTTGTTATCATTAGTTAAAAATGTTTAGTTGCAAATTTCGTGCAGGACAAACGTTATATCACAGATATCTCTCAGACCTTACCATAGACGAGAAATATAGTAGATTCAACCCTGTGCGCACTTTCTCGGTCTAGTTTCCAGGGTCCCTAGACTCCTTTACCATTTCCGTATAACCAACAACGCTACCGACAGAGTATCGATTATGACACTACAGACGACGTATAGTTCTACTGCTTTACCGACTTACGAATAAACTCACTATAGTGTCCTCTATTCAAGAACGACGGTTATTTAAATAACCATTTCTCGTTGGTGGTTTCCGATTGAATTAAAAGGAGGTATAAACTTCGATGAACGCTATTTTAATTAATATCTGAATAACAACATAAAATACAAGCAGAATAGATCACTATCTTCAAGATTAATACGTGAAAATCTGCGACATCAAGATCGCGACCAATTAGCTCATATTACTTGCTACATAATTCATAATTATAATTCAAAGTTCACAAATTAATTACAGAAACATGGAAATTTATTAATTTTCTACTGCGAGATTGATTTATTAAGATGTTAAATTTTGATTGACTATTAAGATGAGAAATTTTACCACCTGCGATCACAGCATCTATGATTTTGGACCCAAAACTCAGAAAAGCAATAGGAACACAGAACAGGCGAGGAGGTCGTCGAAGAGATCATCGCGTGACAGACAAGGACAGAGTACGGTTAGAAAAGAATAGAAGGGAAACGGCAGTGAAAAATTAATAAATTACTCAATTTCGGTAATTAATTTATGAACTTTTATAATTTCATTGCAAAGCTGGAACTTCATGCAAAACTCTTACATAATATTCGTAAGGAATTTAACGCTAATTTATAAGTAATTAATTATTGTTCTATGGCGTCCATGCTTTCGTAACGACAACCGTTAACATCTTCCGTGAAAATATTTGATACTAAACGAAACTAGGAGCAAAATGTGAACAAAAGTGATATGTGAAGATGCCCCAGGATGTTGTTTATATAGTACGTGCATGAAGTTCATAAATTGATTACGCAGAAGATAGTAATTCATGAAAAACCAATGGCGTCTTCGACAACAATTTCTAACACTGCGTAGAATAATCATTAATAATTAATTAATTAGCAACAAATTTATATCGAAAAATATATTGGAAAGTTCTTGAAGGATCTGTCTTTACGATTTATAAAAGTTGATAAATTAATCACAGATATTGAGTAATTAGTGAATTTTCCGCTGCCGATTTGATTTATTAAAATATATTAGAAGCACATAAACAGAGTTAGTAAACTAACATCAGAGCCATCTATGATTTTAGACTCGAAGCTCGGATTAGGTAGAAAGAACATAGATTGTGCCTGGAGGTCGCCTAAATCTACGTGACGCAGTGGACGAAATAAATAAACAATAAAACAACATAAATAACTAACACACATTCTTTTCCCCTCTTTTTGCTCACCTTAGAATCCGATAAAATTTTCTACATTCTTTAATAAATTCAACCTGGACAGTGGTTTTAATTAGACAATCAGCATTCATTTCTTTAACTGGCAGACGACAAATATGCAAAGGTACGCATTTACAACGCAATAATAAAATTTCATAATTTAACCACAGAAATTGAGCGATTTATTAATTTTTCTCCAAATGAACGGGAGAGTGCATGGAAAATGAGAAAATATTGCAAACAAACGTCGGAGGCATTGTTGTGTCCATGCAGGTTTGCCTGCATCGCGAAAAGAATGTATGTATTGTTATAAACATAACCTTTAGTTATAATTAAATAGTGTAAGTTAGAAAAGACAATATTTTGTTGAAATAAACAGACACATGCAACAATAGAAAAATATTGGACTCGTGGAATATCATCAGCGTAGATGCCAAGAATTATACTTTATAGCGAGAAAAAATTGAAGCAGCAATATAAATATGTAAACTATGATATGTCTATTGCATTCTAGGTCGGTTAACCATATGACTTACAAGATAGAAATCTTTGACGGTCAAATAAAAATACAGAAAATGGAAATGGTTTAAGCAGACGAAAAGGAATACAGTGAGATTGAAAGGTATGTTGTATTCCTGATATAAATGAATATTATTATCAGTGGTCAAAGTCAATGATCATCGCTAATGTGTTAAGTTTGAATAAAAGGAATGAGAAGAGGAAATATATATTGTGTCAAATCAAGAAACAGAAAAGAGACAGCATATGTATCAAGAGAGAAACATGTGTGGCATTGACTTTCAA